ACTATATTACTTTATAAATTTTTGGCGGTAGTCACCATTACAATTGGCACTAAGTGATCTTCCCTCAAGTTTGTGATTCTGATACAGTCTTATATAGCATTATTGAATAGGATTTCGGACCTGATAAAATCGCACATATTAATCACTTTATACGGTGTTAAAATGTTCAAATGTTGTCAATTTTTGCGGTATTAAAGCACGATTATCAAAATCGGCCGTACAATTCGTAGGTATCGTAAGTGCGTGTGATTGCCCTCTAGCTGATATTATGTGTAAGATTTTCATGGTTACTATAATAAAGTTAAGTGTTCGGGTTTGTGATGTGGTCGGTATTTTCCCTTCGTTAGGATAGTAGAAAAGTTGTTAATGCCAGGAACTTTTATATTAGTAGGTGGTAGATGCAGATATTGTATAAAATCGAGTGTTTATGCTTGTGATGTGGTCGGTATTGGTTCACACCGGAAATCTAGCGGTGTTGGTAAGCTATTGCGGCTAATCTGATATGTCAACACTAGCGATCATTCACTCCACATCAATCAGTGTTGACTGATGAGAGATATATCTTGAGCCAAATTTTCAACCACTTGGGTCTCTCATAATATACTCCATCATAGTACTTAATAGATTGCCCTATCTATCTCCATCAATTACCGTTGACTGATAAACCATAACTATAGTCAACACTGGTCTCTGCTTTCTAGCAAATTAACAGTTGCTCTGAAAATATGCAGATTAAATTAGAGAAATTGCCTATTCATTTTAGTCAAATGCCATTCGCTGATATACGATATTCAACATTGGAGTGGAGTTTAGATATCTCAACAAATAAATACCAGTTGTTCATATAGACAACGTCTATAGATGAAATTAGAGATCTCATCATACCTTCTATATTGCCCTACTACCGATTACTGTTGACTGATATATAAACACTGAAGTGGTTTGGAGTTCCCAGCAAATTATCGGCCTCCATGTAGATGAAATTGGGGATTTCTGTCATTTATCGCCAGACCCATCTCGCCAGGCTAATTAATACTACCTGCATGATATTGACAGCTTGATATGCCTGATGTAGTGGCAACATAAAAATTATTAAATACTCAAAATAAAACATATTTCCTCGTGGTCACTTGAAAACCAACTAACTTAAATAAAGACGTGTTTTTACTAAATGGGAAGTCACTCACTTCATTAGTTGAGAATTACAAAGCTATTTAACTTCCCAAGTTTCCTCCCAAAATCATTTCCTATAATATTACAAATCGGCTGCTCACAGCGAAATTTATATCATGCTTAGATATATCCCTTATACGTATAGCATATTCATGGTATTTATATAATTATCCCAATATAACTAGCTAGTACTATAGCTGTATGTGTACGTATATAAATGTATAATCAAGCACTTTCCTTATATGGTTTTGTAATGCTGAAAATATTATAGCGTATGCTGTAAAGCTCGTCAATTATACCCAGCTAATAAAACTGTTTACTTTCATTGCATAATCAATACAGGATAAACTATTGCACTTTATATCTGAGCGGAGTATTTGCTCATGAGAGAATTTTTTATTGCTGAGTACATAGTTTTATGAATGCAAGATAAACTTAATTTATCTATCATCAATCCAAGGTGTTAAGCACTTTTCGAGTGCTCATTGTGAAAATTTAACACCTACCACATGTGTAGTGTGAATTACATGCTAGCGAGGACACTGAATCACTAATTCCGGAGAAAATGTCTAAATTTTGACACAATTCATTGATGTTAAATATACACTGCATTATTTGTCTAGTAAATGTTGCTCTTTCCATGTGGAGAATAAATAAAACCTTCCGGTCAATATTTGAGAAGCGCGCGTAAAACAAATAAAAGCTGTTCGTAGCTGGATATGGGGGATTATTCCTAGCAAGTAAAGACGGTTTGTGTTTGTAATTGAGTGGATATGAAGGAGGGAGGGTAGACCTCATCAACGACACTAGGCAGCTTTCAATTTCCCAGCTTGGGGGATTCGAAAAGTTTACTTGTAAATTTAATTTATTCTCGCTGATCTATCGCTCTATATTGACACAATCAGCTTGATAGGGCGGAGTTTCTCAATTGCCAAATTTAGCTAACGGTTTTTCTGTTCATTTTGCGACACGACTTGCCGCGAGGGAATTTCTTCAATACTAGGAACAGGAAATTTTCAGGTTATTGAGTTTACAATGCGACTAGACCGCCGCACTCTTAGATTGCAGGTTGTTTGTTACATTCACTGGCTACCGGCTCTCAACAATGTTTGCGATTGTTTAACCCAACTGAAACCTTTTTATTCCTGTTGTGCGGTTAAATTGACTAAATTTTAAATGTTGTCGTTTCCCAATACTAAAAAACGAAGCGAAATCTTCGCTTGGCGTGCTTATGACGCGACGGGAGATCACAAGAGTAAAAAGGCAATTAAAATTCGGTTAAGAAAGAAGGATGCGGGTTCCTTATTCAAACTACTTAAAACCCTCTTGACTTTGAATATCGATATCTAACTTAAGGCCGTTTCTTCTAGATGGGCGGTTTATTGGATGCCTACAAAGTGCTATCTCTAGATCTTTTGAATTGCAATAGCTTTGCCTGACAGATTAAAATTGAAATGAGCTAGTTGAGAACAAAAACAATGCGAGTCGGTACAAGGCCATAGCTAGTCACGAATTGTGAATAATTAACGAACCGTATGCAGAGCTGTGAAATGAAATATGATTGGTTGCGAGCGACATCCGTTCAATATGCCAATCATTAAATAGCGAGTTGTGTTTTGAAATTCTCATGCTGTGAACTAACACAGAGAAATGCAGATGTTTTGAAAGAGGTGTTCCTTCACTCCTGCTTCAGTTTCACACAAACCGTGGAAATTTGAACATCACGCAGAGCGTCAAGTAAAGTCTTGAAGAGCGACACTCCAACAACGCAGGTATACGTTGATCTCCTCAAGACACCTGATAACAAGTTGAGATCTTACGTCTCATGCGAAGTTGTCTAAACCTGAGTATTGAGAAACAGCTTGCTTGATCGTGAAAACACTGCGGGTTGACCGCCGTAAGAACTGAGTTCGTGAGTTGAGGTAATTACACGAGATCTCACGCGAATACTTATCGTGAATAAACACAATGTCGATTGCTCATCAGCCTACAATCGTCTCTACTAATCACGCGACAGCTCAAGGATACCCAGAACGTCGACCTTCCCATGATTTCATTTACGCTCGTGAAACAATTGCAGCGCCACCATCATCAAATCAAAACCCAATTCGAAGTGAAGTTCGAAGCACAGGATCTAAAGTGAACTATCCTTCACACAGTATGTTCACAACAGGACCTGTAGTCGGAGCTACTTCCATTCCAAATTTTCATGCGAACTCCATGGTTGACCGTTTCGATACTCCACCACCTCCGCCGCCAGGAGCTCCTCATACGTTCTTCCAGTTACCCCATCCTCATGAAGCTACATCACATTTTCCCATGCAGGGAATGAACGGTTATGGCAATCCTGGTTATAGAATGACGACAGGAGGGCACAACGATTACTATACTAGAGACGATAAACCTGACAGCGTACAGCTTCCTCCTCCATTCCCTAACCCAACAAGATTCGAGTTCCTACAGCCTTTCCCTCAACCGCCGTTTCCCTATCCACCTCCGGGCAGACAACTGTTAAACCAAGTCATAGTTTGCCAATGGATCGAACCCAGCGCCAAAGGCAAACCGTGTGGCAAGCAGTTTTTCCGTATGCATGATGTTGTGACTCACCTCAGTGAAGATCATGTTGGAGGCCCTGAAGTTACAACTCACATCTGCTTATGGAAAGGCTGTGTGAGGAATGGCCTTCCTTTCAAAGCAAAGTATAAGCTGATTAACCATATTCGTGTTCACACTGGGGAGAAACCGTTCCCCTGTCCCTTCCCAGGCTGTGGTAAACTATTTGCAAGATCAGAGAACCTAAAGATACATAAACGTACGCATACGGGCGAGAAACCTTTCATGTGCGAATATCCCGGTTGTGATCGAAGATTTGCCAATTCCAGCGACCGAAAGAAACATTCTCACGTTCACACTTCAGATAAACCTTATATCTGTAAAGTTGACGGTTGTAATAAGAGTTATACTCATCCGAGTTCACTGAGGAAACACATGAAACTACACCAGAAAGCGAACGATCTAGCTAAGTCAATGACAACTAAAGACGAGAAACCCAATCTGACTGCGATACAGCACTATCAACCAAGTTCTAATTTCCCTCCTATGACAGACTGGTATACACGATTCCCTCCAGCGACCGCCGTGAGTCAACATGACTATGAAAACTCTGTGTGTATCACACGATCATCGGTATATTGACATTCAAGTGACTCACATTCGAACACCGGTTCTTTCAAACGATTTGCAGACATTAGCATCAACAAGCGCTGGTTCTATCGGACGAAATAAGCACATTACAATCAAAGAACGTGGCCAAGTGGGTTCTTTCGAACAAATTTAGTTAGGTTCGAAACGAATATATTCAAGTGGCGAACAAAGATGGTTTTCTACCATGTTTCAAACAGAATTCATTCACTGACTGTTTGCCGGAAGTTCTTCAAGTACTTGACCGCCAAATGTCTGATTGATCGAGAAGATAAAAATATAAACATAAAATATCGCCAAAAGTACAAGATGTACTCAGAATTGGACAAATCGAGACTTGGTGTGATCAGAATTATATCTGGTTTAACATTTCTGTAGAATCTTTGACAAAATAACAATGAACACATATTTTATAAAATTGAATTGTATAGCGGACAGAAAGTAAGTTATTAAGAAACGTTTTGCGCCAATAATTTATACTTTGAGAAATATTATAACTAAATGTCGTACAAAGCTGAATTGCTGAGAATTTTCTTAGGACAGTCAAAAGCTGTAAAGGCCATTCGCAATAGTGATTTACAAATTTTAAAACATATTTTATTTATCTGTTTACTAGTGAGGCTATAGTTAAACTTGAGTTTATCTCATATAGGTTGAGATTATTCTTTTACGGTTTGAAATAGATTTGTATTGTTGCGGTTGGCCTATTCAGCTTTTCTATAAGCGTGCTTGGGACCTTTGATGAATATAGTCCTTTCTTACGTTTCTTAGTAAATTTCAAAGCGGCAATTATGCTTTATTTTAGATCGGTAATTCAATACAATTCAGGTAAATAAAATCAAAATGTATATGTCATTTTTTAAAGCATTGCCCATGTAAATACAACATTTTCCTCTATGGAAGACACTGCTTATTGTGGTTTGTGTATGCTTAAATTTTATCTTATTTCAGCAATTGCTTTATCGCAAGATTAGCTCTGATATCTAGACCACACAGTGAATAATACTGTCAACAAAATCTATGTGCAGTTAAGATATGTCTCCCTAAGAATGAAAATTTCTGAAGCGCTGGCCTCCCACAAGTAATAATAATTGAAGCCTTGAGAACTGTAGGCATACTGATATCTGGCTATGTCTCCCGCGCTGAATCATGATATAAATAGTGTTTAAAACTGATCTCAGTTAATCCGTTTCCGAGGCTGAGAAAAAAGTCAATATCCTTGATATAAATGTGTGCGTTATTAATAAAAAGACAATTGATCAAGGTGCTCCTAAATCGAAACAGTTTGGAGAAGAGCGTTTTGCCAACACGGCCTTATTTACATTTCTAATTAAAAATTAGAACACAATTCATCAAAGAACGTTTGAACACGCGAAGTCTCTCGATCTTGTCACAGCAACTTAAACCTTGAAGTATTGTTAACAACGATTTGTTTGCGAGGGCGCAGTAATTTCCCCCCAAAATGCACAATATTTGGCAAGCGACGTAAATTGTGTTTTATTTTGTGCACAGTAGGCAATGTACAATTTTCTCTTGACGCGTGATTTATTATTAATGCAGACTTAAAAAAAATAAAACATTTCATTTTTGTCAAAGTGTTTTCTCGTATATAGCTGAACATTCCCAAGATACAACATAATTACCACGCCAATCCATGAAATATAGCCAAAAAGTATAAATATGTACTATAAGTATATCTTCATATTCATTTTATTGAGTATAAGTTTTACATCTCCCAATGCGCACGCTAATATTTGTTTACATACATATCACTTCGTTTGAGTTGAGCTTTGCACGGTAAATATTTTTATTTACGTTAAATTCAGCAGCAAAGTGCTAAAGACGTTCCGTTGATTTGTGTAATGCTATAGGTTTTGGTATGTTCCGCACAAGATAATTAAAAGGGTTTAATTTTTTCATCGGAACCATGACACCAGAAGGTCCGCTTTTCTCAAGTCCATTTTGACGTTCAGCACGAAATATAACCTCATTTCAATCGGTCACACGAGTGTAATATATATTGAGGAGACATTGACTTATTTAATAGCCAAGCGGTAGAAATCTTCATCGTTGCACGTTGTAATATATACCACTAAATATTACTATGGTCTATATAGAAATTCATTAAACGATTGCTTATTATAAAAACTACATGCATTACTATTAACTGCTTGTAGAATCGCAGAGTTTTAAAATTTGGTTTTAGCTTGGTTAGAGTTGTCCACATAAGCAAAATTCTGAACAATTGAATAATCAAGTTTTTTTAGTCAAAATACTTCGGTGCAGTTATATACTTTTTATATTCATTAGTCATTACAGTGGGAATACGTTATTTTTCATGTGTCGAACTTTAAATGTAAGAAAGGCTACACTCCCTACAGCCAAACAGCCTCCCTAATTGTAAAGAATTAAGACACGAAATTTGCTTAACTCAAAATTGTTTATCAAAATACAGCGTTCAGCCTTTTGGTTTTAGTAAACAATATTTTACTATTTTTATCAGAAAATCTTTCAAAAAGCACTTCGAGTAAGTAGCAATGCGGCATCTCTTTAGTCAAGTACCTTTTGCGGCTTTCTAAGATGATTGTCATTGATGATGCATAGTTTGATGGCCGTTTATAAGCCGAAATGAGTTAAAAAATGGACAGACGCTTTGGCTGGCCATATATGTCTTGTCTGCAGAGAGCAGAGAATGAGCGCATAATGCTATAATTTTCTCATAACATGCAATTTATAGCTATTTTGTTGTAACTGCAAGGCAGCTTGAGCAAAATTTTCTTATTACGAACACAAAATCTGGGGCTTGTATGAAAACCTAAAAGAGACAATGTCACACAAGAGGAACTGCATGTACATTTTATTAATCTTACGACTGTTTTACTTAAAGCTAAGTGTAGTTATATGTTTTTAATTTTGTCGGTATGACAATTTGCGAATTACGTTCCTCTTCTAACGATTTCTCTTTGTTATTACGGAATGATCGATTTAAAATGAAGAGAAGTTTTACGTTGCAGGTCACGGAAGGCTCTCGCACAGTCCATACTGTTATTTACAGAAGCATTCTTTGCGTATAATGAGCGTAGATTTCGCTTGATGGCCACGTTATGCCATCGTAATTGTCAGCATAATAGTGTTGAATTTAAGGCTTAGGCATATGTGTTAGTATTTGCGTTAAATTAGGCAAAGAGCAAACACTACGAAAGTGTGAATGAGTTTATGTATTGTACAATAAAGCTGTCGGCAAATAAATGAAAGATAATTTGCAGATAGCTATTTCACGGCTGAATTACACCCACGCAGCATAATAATCTCGCGGACTTTTGCACAATTCTACATGTAATCCAAAATAAAACGTTTGTTTTCGGTTTTTGTACTTTCAGTTGAAAGTTTCGTGTGAGTTTTACCACACGTTTTCATCAATTGAACCTCCTGTTGAAGTCCTACTGGGATTTTCATCTTAATATCATTGTGGTGTAGCTTTAGCTCTCTATGGTGCAATGTACATAATCGGAAATTTTTTAACTCATTTAAAGTCAAGATTACTTGATATATACTATTTTATATATATTCTGCGCGAATTTGTTGGCGATTACACAACGCGCTTCTAGAAGCTATTCTGTTTATTAAGAAATAAATATATCTTAGTTCTTTTCAAAAATGGCATAATACATTTGGGCGGTATTATAATAGATCAAAGGCGTACCGACTCGTAGTTTGTTTCATTAATACCGATCACTGTGTTCAGTAAATGCCGCCCAAACGCAACGCTAATTTAACTAGGATGTTGCCTCTCTTATCAATTCTTTATCTAAAACGACATTGAGGAAATTTTCTTTCAGAAAACAGAAAATCATTTGATTTTGAAGATTTTTTCTTTGAATTGAATTCATTCTTCATTTCTGACTAAATGATGCGCGTTTGGCTTATTTAAAGTTGATTACCGAAAATAATTCGGCCTGCATTAGGCCATCTTTTTGGCAAGAAAATTGTTTTCCCTGTTCTCTTTAAAAGTGAACGGAAATTTATTACACAAGATCGACTGAACTTTAGATTAGATTGAAAATATTATTTCACCATGGTTCTATTAACACAGGTTTTCGTTTGCCCTGTTGGAAAGCTGTTGTTCTGTGCGTGAGGCCTAGTTTTTATTGTGCTTGGAAAATAGGATTTTCCTTACTATGCATATAAACATTTAACCTTGTAGTATTTAACTTGAACTCGTATCTTCTTCAAGTCAAAATTAATAGAAGCACCAAGACAGCAAATGAAGAATCGTATAAGTTAAATAATATGGATAGGTAAAGTTGAATGTGTATAGTACTGTATTATGAAACTTAAGGTCCAATACAGGTAGTTTTATTAATTTTCTAAAATGTAAACTACAGCTGTTTGTTGGAAAACATATCAACAGTGAGGTCCAGTGTAGTAATATTAGTCACGTCTACAATATAAAATGAGTTATTTAGTTCGTGCCTGAATTAACAAAACGAAAATGATATCTCCTCCATGGGCTCCAGTTGGTTTGTGTTGGAATTACCTGAAAAAGATATCTCAAATGTGAAGATCCAATGAACGTAGTTTTCTGTTATAAGCTGCCGTATAGTTTGAGCCTGAACAAATAAAAAGATATCTCAAATGTGAGGTCCAATATAGCTGTGACGTAGTTTGTGCCTGAAACGCGACTAAAACGATATGTCTTACTTGGAGGTCCAGTGCATAGATATCTTATATACACTAGATAGTACATCTAATTATTGTGCAATTCAAAAATTGAAGCCGTGATTGCAGACTCAGGATATTCCCATGAAATGAGAAGACTCGTATGTTTTCTATTTCTTAAACAGGGAACTTAAACATTAAGTTAAACCTATTCCAAATACATTTTCGAACTATTCAAATGGTGAAAGTTATTGTTGTCTTTTAAGCGTTTATTAGCGAGTGGGAAACTCAAACATGGCCGCCATTTATTCAAATGGGGGTAACCGCTGGAATGTTCTTAGCTTCAATTTTACTAAAAGAGATGCGCTATCTAGTGTATATATATAAGATATCTATGGTCCAGTGCAGGTAGCTAGTACTCTACAACAATCTGCCATGGTCTACGTCTGAACTATCTGAAACGATATCTCAAACGTGGGGTCCAATGTCTAGGTAGTATGATTCGATAAAATATGCTGCCGTGGTTATATAATCTGAACTACCTGTGTTGGTAGTGTTCTGCAATACAAGCTGTCGTCGTTTGTATCTGACTATACCTGAAAAAGATCACGACACTTCAAACTTTGGAGCTATAAGTGTTCGTGTTTCCTTTATAGATTGTTCACACCCAACCACATTAGATCTAATACATGCAGGGCATTATTTTAGATACATGCATTGTATAATTGTTGGTTTTAGAATTTAATTTATTGCACATTTTCCACAATGACCTCTTTTCCATGTTTAACTATGGCGATGCACATGAAGGTTATATCCCCATGTTCCGTGTATAAATATGTTTCTCTTTGATCTTGAGCCCAATCAGAAACCTACCCTAACCGTATTGTGCGCAAAACATGTGGAAATATAAAAACGAGGCCATTAGAGCGAGAACGCAATAAACAGTATACCGTATAATCTCAGATAAGATATGATTCTCCGAATACGAAAACTGTTCCTTCCGTTCGCGAAACAATTTGTAAGAAATATAGAGAACAACGGGGAACTAGTATGAACAAGATTAACTTTAGAATCTATCTTAATCTTACTAGTGCCATAACATGTTCACTCGTTTTTAAATGTGCAACTATTTATTATATTCTGTATTGCAGGTCATAGTTTTTTAGGCGGAATGTAGAGAAATGAGGTCAAGGTTTTACTGCCTGGGTTTATCCGAAAATATAACGGTTTGCCAACACATTAAATCATCAATATCCTGTCTTGTGCCGTTTGATGTAATATCGACCTGTCTATAAGTGATCCACCAAGTGTGGTCTAGTTTCTTTGAGTGGGGAAATCTTTTCTTGACTACAATAGCTAACAATTGTAGTATATTCATTATATGCAGCCCTGCCTTCACCGCGGCCTTAATTAATTTTGCCATTCTCAAGAGTAGGGCGGGGTAAAGATATTTGTATCTGTAATATTTTGTTGACTGCAAGACATAAGGCGGTTAGTGCAAATTCAAGAATTCACTGTACAAGAAGAGAATGATGCAAAATGTCTTCTAAACAGAAAAACCACAAAAGTGCTCATTCTTTTGCATAATTTTAAAATATGTACTGAAATGGAACTTGAATTTCACCCTTTTACAAAGGTCACTTCATGAATTTTTTATTAACAATGCAAAATTGGTTCTCAAGTATATTCCAAATGAGCAACTGTTGCTTGTTGAGATGAATAAAATGATATAACCATTTATTTTTATCCCAAGATGAAGGTCTCAGGCCATATATTGCTTTGTCATCAAGTTCCTGACGTAAATAACTAAATAAATTGTAATATTGGACTGCATTATTCTTAATAAAAGTCCGCATTCATAAAATACTTTACAACCTGTTTGATACTTGACGTGCAGTTTTGTATAATTATAATTAAAGCATGAGCGCTAACAATTCATACATTTTTTAGCCAGCTGTGTGTGCGTCACTATTTTACACAGTAATGTGTGGGCAACTGCACCAGAGATCGGAGACAGAGTCTATAGCTAAGGATAAAACCCATCAGCCTGAAAGCTGATAGAAAAAATCTCCATGTATTTCATGTTGATCATGCATGTATAACCTATAATGGCACGTTATACGCTGCATGCTATGTTTCGTGTACGATTCGTATTTGGTGCATTTAATAGTCCAAGAACTAAGCAAGGTAAAGTGGCTGCATTACAAATTTCGCCATAAACTAAACGAATTGTGGCGTCCGCACTAATTTTCATACTCCAGAATGGCAATCGTATAGAAAACCTTGAGATAAAAGAGATTGTGCATTTGGATTGTCCCACAGCTTCAAACGAATAAAAAAATTTGATTTTCTTCACGTTTCACCACTATAGCATATTTTTATGTTTATCGAACAACGCTGGACCACCGGGTTTTGGGAGTGGATACATTCGCTTAGGTACAACACTATTGTTTAGGTCTGCTTGTATCTGAATGATTTTATGATACTCCTGTGTTGTTTTCTCCAGTCACTGTAGTGGGCTAATTCAAACAGTTCAACTTATATTTAACCTCAACTGGAGTTCAAATCTCCAACATTAATTGTATTTATACAACTGCTGTTTTCTTCTGTATCTGATCTTCCCAGACAAGTTATAACTGTGTTATCAGCATGCTAAGGCGGAGTAAATCCAGTTGATATCAATGCATGCATGTTCGGTAGAAATTTTCACGCATATTTGCTTTGTAATCTGAACGTACATCAACTTTCTATTATATACTAGACTTGCTACAAGTCAGCTCGTATTATTTAGCTGCGAGCTTGAGATCAAATATCTGCGCACGGGAGCTGAAGCTCGCTCATTTCAGTTGTATCCGCACACTCGTTTTACTCGTTACCATATGCGAGTGGACTAGTGTGGCAAGTCTACTATAATGCGTAATACGTTTTCGTGCAGTAATTTTATTTGGATCTCTTATTACTTCACGTGCACAAATTCCAAGATCAGGGCATATTGTGAACATTAATTCCCTTTGATTGTTTCATCACCTGAAGATTCGGTATCCATTGTGATAGTATTGCCTGTTGTCCTCAGCCGGTACAGAAAAAGTCACCCCCATTAATGTGCGCTGTGAGAGACACCTATAAGTTACTATGCATGATGAATGATTTCAATTAGCATCATAGTGATAACTGTTGGCAGGCGTCTTGCGCCAAATTGTTACAAGAAACAACATCTACTGAGTATTATACAATACAACACGACTCTTGGAAAACGACATCTAACTGATATAGTTTTATAATGTGCGAATAAGTCACTGCATGATATCTGTCTTTCACGTGCATAACATGTACATACTACACGTGTACGATGGGAAATATTTACTGTATCTGTAAACCAACTGTAACTAGAACTTCAAGGGTTTTGTAGATGGAAACTTCCAGTATGAATTTTATACGTTTATTAGACCTAACCAGGAGCAGTTGCGAAAAATGCAACTATAAGCCCTCTGGCACAAATCGTACCTACGGTCCTCTGGTGCAGCTCTCTAACCATCTCAGCTACAGAGTCCAGTTGTCGAGCATGAATTTGTGATAAGGCTTTGTTAGGTCTAATAAACGTATGAAATTCACGCTCGGAATTTCCATCTACAAAACCTTTCAACAGTTGGTTGTATGGAGTGTGGATGCTCAATGCATTGGAAATCAGACTGATTGAGGTGATTATTTCAGGTATATTTGAGGAGATATTCAAATTCCGTATCAACTGAAAGCTGTGTTTAAAGTAAGAAAGTTTGTAGCGTTTGCCCTAGGCTGGGTCAAAGTTTTTCCGTTTAATTTACTAGCCAGGAAATCTGGGCCCACTGAAGAGTTGACCTAATCTTACCTGAGCCAACTTTGTGGCAATCAAAACAGTGCAAACGGATCACGCAATTATCCGTAGGTCAGACCTTGGTTCTGCATGCTCTGGCAAAATACTGTTGGTAGTCATACAAGAATCAATGCACCTGTTTATGCACATACATTTTGCAGGATAGTTTATTACTTTTGGTGACTGGAATATTTTTGACTAGTTAAATTTTAACTTTGGTGATTGGAAGTAATTCTTTTATCGGTGCTTAAGAAGAAGCTATAGAGTTGCCCAGAATTAAGAAAGCTCATTTATCATGAAACGTTTTAGGAATAAAACGAATCCTAACATGATAATTCTGGATGATATTCCACGCTTAGGTTTGTCTTTTTATATGTAGACATGTTTGTTGGCTGCTATGCCTAGCTTATGAAATACAAGCGCAGACTTATGCATTTTGTCTGTGTTGGTGTAATGTACTCAGATGGATAATCATGAATTACTAGATTACATCGATATCGAAGGAACTAGACTCAGTTCCAAAGTATCACATACTCGAACCGACCTGACCGCGTAGCTCAGTTGGCAGAGCATTGGGCTAGTATTCCAAAGGTCGTAGGTTCGATTCCCACCGTGGCCAGGTATATTTTCAAGCTTGCCCGGTGTGGATATACACTCAGGGTAACATCACAAGCATGATATCATTATGTTTTATCAATATTTTCTAATTAATTAAGCCGAAGGTGACGCAGCTTAAACAAGCAAAGCTAGGACCCTCTTAAAAACACAGCCAAGTCGCATAAGGTTGCCTCTGGCTGTCTCTATACAATCCATTTCTGATCAGTACCAGGAGAAAAACTGTTGAAGCACGGGAGAGAACCACCCACTTCATACATGGGGAACGGAGCATCCGGACCCCTCCACTCTTCTTCAGGACTAATTTTGTAATTGTTTCAAAACTGAGGAGAAACCGAGAGTGTGGGCGTAACCTCTTAATGTTTTCATCTATGACGTAAAATTCACCAAATCTGTGACTTTCAGATTATGATAAGACGTGTCCAAAATGCATAAAACAGCGTTTGGGAGGCCCTAAAATAGAACATTTTTCTGGGGGCGTGGCCCTGGACGGCCAGATGATCAGACCCCCAATTTTTTGGGGCTGGTTACGCCCCTATTGAAGGGCAAAGTGATACATGTACAGGCGCCTCTCTACAGCAGCGGTGATAGCAGAGGATACGCTGCAGCGCACACTGCACCTCTCATCTATGCTCTCTGTTAAAGACTGGTACCTAAATTGTGGCAGGAAGCACGAAGGTTTTTAAAGTTCTTCATATCGACGATTTTTGACACATTTTGCCAATGCCGAGGAAATAATATATTAAGCATTTTTATGATAAAAAGGTTTCATGATAGAAATTATTTGCTTCTTTTAAAACGAAATTGCAAATTGATTAAAAATATTATACAAAAAGTTCAATAAAAGTTTAATTTGAAAAAATTGCTAAAAATTTAATGTTCAGCTGGCATGTTGATAATAACTTCATGGATGGATACACGATATAGTGCAACTAAAAGAAATAAAATAACATTGACTGGAACCTAAACCATGCACAACCCTGAACCATCACTGAACCTCTTATACCTAAAATAACGGTTAGGATTCAGGTTGTTTAGGGTCAGGTTTCATTCCATGTGCATTCGCATAATTAGTGTCCATAGGACGTGAAATTATTCGTACCGGCATGATAATTTTCACTGTGGGATAGAATACGGCTAATGTGTGATAACTGTCATGAAAGGTCTAGGATAATTAAGTTCACAAAGTCATTTTACTTGGAACAATATTTTTAATTATAGTGTCGATGAATCAGCAAATATCTAGAAAATTTCGCACACCCAAAAATGTTTTCCCATTCATGCATTATACTTTGGAGTGCTAGTTTTCTCTCAAAATAAATATATTATAGCATTTCCGTTATGGAACTGTTCGATCTCAGCAGGGTAAACCTTCCTTTCTTCTTAGTGTGAGGTCTTTTTGCTTTTATAAAATTTTGTTTTGATTTTTCATTTTCCATGTTTCTGCAAGTAGCATGTCTCACAGTTTGACATTCAGACGTCATGCTATGTTCAATGTTAGCGAGTCTTATTTGTTTGAAGAGACTCTCCATTTTCTCATCAATTGCACGACATGACGTCTTTCTACCTCACAGTTTGAAATGCAGAGCGCTCTCTAAGATCTATCTAAATCTATTAGCGTTGTCATTTGCCTTTCTATAGCATTTTAAGTCCATCCTATTTATCAAGGACAAATATTTTTCTCCAGTGTAATGCAGATAAAATATCTAAATATACCTATTTGTTTTGACTCTCAAATATGTAAAGTTGGTTTGTGTTTTGTATGACTAGACAAAATTTTCCTCTATGACTTATTTCAAACCTCTACTTTTATTATTATGTATAACTATATAATACAAATATTTTGCTAACTGGGAACGGTATAGAGCGTAAATAAACATGTTTGGAACATTTTTATTCAACAAAGAAGGTGGGATTTTGAAACCCTACTAATCTTTCATTTGGAGAAAATTCTCAAAACTGTTTACATTAACTGCAGTGTCATAGGTGATGTTGCAAAGTTGTTTATATACTGCGCTGAAAGGTGAAACCAATATTAAAAATGCCGATCACAAACATGAAAAAATGACACGTTGCTGGTGTCCCTCAGGTCCTGCATGTTATTTCAAATAATAATCAACGAACAATCTGACAATATATTATAAAAAAATGACATAATATAATCGTCAGTATCAACATTAAACAGCACCAAAAACTTAACATGACGGAAAATCCATGTGTGATACATTAACGCCTGGCTAAATGCTCACTCACACTCAAAGAGTGAGGTTCAATCTGAGCTTCCATTGAGTGTCAGTGCTGTTTTCGAAAGGCTGGAAGGTGAGTTGTCACATAGTTAACCCTCCAGCTATTCAAAATCAGCACTGACACTCAAGGGAAGCTCAGATTGAACCTCCACTCTTTGAGTGTGAGTGAGCTGTTAGAATACATGCGTAAGACTTAAGGCCATGAAGTATTCAGTAAAATGAAACTTTCCTCAGTGTTGATACTAAGACAGTGTAGTATCTCTCAGAATGCCAAGATCCATCTTATAAAACCAAATCACCAATTATACGTCTGGCGTGGCATCTTTGCACGAAATTTAAATTTGCAATAACACCTCTAGCTCCAGTATAAGCGTTTAAATCAACACGCATGCATCGCATAACAATATCTCAAACGTAGGGGTCCAGTGTAAAGAATCGTTATACAATTAAAATCTCGTCGTTTACGTCGCAACCGTGTCTGGAAAAGATTAAACATTCGTTTAAAAAGACTAAAAACACTTCGTCTTCGGTTCATTGTATAATGCTCTGGCACGGGGTGGTGCAAATGCAGGTAAAATTGTTGAATGCATAGAAATCTGATATACACATGGAAATAATAACGACATTTATCTGGGCTGGAACTAAAGCTGGACATTTGGCCGAAATATAAATGAATAATACGAGATGTATTACTATATTTGAGATTATGTACATCATAGGGCCATGGAAGAATGACAATCAGGGGGGCAACTGATACATTTTCCCGATTTATTGTCGACGAGAAAGATGGGAGTGAAGAAAGGGAAAGATGGGAGGAGAAGAAAGAGGGGTAGCAAAATTTTGGGGCCAAAAGGGCATAACATTTTTTACCATATTACACATTTCTTGCATTTACGACTATTAGCTTACATATTTCTACCTTTTTCAATTTACTTCGTATTTTTGCCCAACCCATATTTAAAATTTGCCCAACTTTTATACATTGTACATTGTATTCACACGATTCTAACAAGAATTCGTTTCACTTGTAAGTCTGGACGTTAACGTTGAAAACTGTCATCATCGCGATACCCTATACTGTATGTGCACGTGGTAATCATCATAATCATGCACATGCAGGCTGATCCCTTTTATTGATTTTTAACCAGCTTCTGTGAATGCCCCGTTCACGTCCAGACAGGACAAGATTAATTTTGATTCGTTTTCGGAAAAGGCCGTTCCGGTTTGTCGCAAATCAATTCTTGACATTTAAAGTTAGACAAAGGCATGCATGGTGGAGATGTTAAGGAAAATACACTCCAACTACAATATAATTGCTGCTAATGAGATTCTTTTGTTTAAGGTCCTCCAACAGTGCCGCCATGCATGACGTCAAGTGCAACCCAAGAGTATCACTCATTCATTCACACATTCATTAAAAAATATTCAAAAACACGATTCTTGTCTTAATCATCTAACTTTTCGTTAAAGTGTTGAACTGAACATTTTAAAACTAGTTTTATCCCAGCAATTATCGCTGACTTTAATAGTACTTAGGGAAGTACATTTATTATACCGAGGGGGGAGGGGCACAAAAATCTTTTCTGCCATTAAAGGGTGGGCTCTGAAAGTTCTCGATATACTGAAGGGATGCTATAAACCTTTCAAACGATTCACACAATCTACAGGTTGATAAGATTACAGTCAATTCATACATTTATAATGCTTTGGTAGAATTAGCTTTCACATTCTAGTTTCAATATATACATAATACAGAACAGAACAGAACAATGTCAATGAGCAACTATATGAATTTTGACTATTTGAGGCACTGCCGCAATTAAAGGGGATCGAGCTGCACATGGAATACGTAAAAGAAGGCCGCAACATGTCTGTCAAAAATGCATTCAAAAGCATGAATATAAAACATATCATTCTTACAATCGTTCTTTTTTTGTTTTTAAATTGCTACTTTTTGGCGGGTAATTAATTACGTCACAATCTTGGTGCCAAAAAATTTACATTTAGCTATTGATGATTTTATAAATCCGGTTCGAAGAGCAGACTAAGGGTACTTTAAAACTGAAATCTGTTTCTAAATACAACGGTTACCATTTTATGGGAAGATATATCGATACAAATGTCGAAAAATGCGCCATATTGTTACTAAAAATAGAACAAAATCACGGCGGAGTTTTAGACATTTAAGTCATTATATCTTTGCAAGGAATGGTTGTTGTATTTTGAAATCGATTTCAGTTTTAAGATGACACGCATGCATGCAAAAAAATTTGCAACAGATTCCAGGAGAAACGTTGGGTGGGGGCGAGGTTCTCTAGGGCTCCAGCACATTACCCTGTTTTTTCATAGTATTAGTGCTGTTTAGTCAAGCTTTAACTTATACTAAGGCCTGTTTTATACGTGGAGTTTCGGTCGCGTCCAATGCAATTCAAACAATAGATAATGAAGCTTAATGAGGTTTATCATCTCATTATCTTTTGCCTTAATTGCAATCGACGCGACCAAAATTCGACGTATAAAACAGGCATAATACGTTCAAACGGTTTTAATCTAGTTTTAGTCTGTTAATTTAAAGTTCACGTTTATCACTTTTCTTACCATTCAAAGCACTCACTTGTTAAAAATTAGAAGAAGGGGAAACCCTTCTACAATTAGCTATACTTAGTGAACCGAGTGTGGATGTCCAAAATCCTAATATTTAGTCATTGACCTACAAATCAGAAGAACATAATTATAACGAAGAAGATTGTTTATTACTAATAGGTTTTGTTTGTGGAAACACCACGTAAATTTATTTACGTGGTGTTTCCACAAACAAAACCTATTATATTTTATCACCATGCAAACACACAAAGAACTTATTATTAGTTCTACTGACAAAAAATGTAAATAAAAATAATTTATAACTTTATAAAGTTAATTGTATTAGTGTACCTCATATATCTTGAACCTGACATTATATGACACTATTCTCCTTTGTTATATTAGTTTGTTTTTTAAATTTTTTAGGGTGGACTACTAGAAAAGCCCTGATGGGCTTGTTAGTCTTCCTTCCATATGAATTGTAACTTTAAATTTTATCAAAACTGTAACTGTATAATGGAAAAATAAAATATCTATCTATACCATCAATGTAAAATCAATATGGATAGCAAGATACTTTAATTGTCTTAGCGAAGTAGCGAATAGTTTGCTACATTTTTGAAACAGCAGCAGTATAGTCAGTTGAGCCGGGGCAGCACTTTTTGACAAGTTTATAGCAGTATATAGTTGTAGCTGAGTGTATATTTTTAAAGTGCTGTAACGACTACAAAAAGTTGGACGTCGACCCAGTCTGGCAAATATCTCATTATTTTAAATACCGGTAGATTAAAACGTTTAAATGAACAAATTTGTGTGGGTTATAAGGATATGTCTTTGCATTACACGCAATTACCAGCTTTGTTAAATAATTATTTAAAGAAGACCATAAGACCCAGCCTGGTCCCAGTCGTTCAGAAGTAAGCCTGAGAAAAAACGTGGATATAGTACGAGACTGGGACCTAGATGTGACGTCACCGCTAAAGGTGCTTCAGAACAATAGATATAGGAGATCTAGATTGCTGACGCATACCTAGCGCAGGCGGGGCCTACATGATAAATCCAAGATGGCGGTACAACAGGGCAAAAAGACTATATAGATTCTATTACGAAAATCAGGATTTTTGCATTTTTTGCCGTCCCATTGTTTCGAAACTTATTCGGTCAAATTTTATGGTAAAGAGAAACTTACCGCGAATATTTTGAGCATATATATGATTGAATTGGATGAAAACTCGAAAAATTATCCATCGATAAAAGTTCGTGTACAGTACTGATATAGTACTATTAATAAATGTAACTTGTACAGTTTTGCTTTAATTTTGGCTCACTATTTGCATAAAAAGCAAATTATAACAGACCATAGATGATAGACCCTCATCCAGTGCTCTCATCAGTTTACTTCTCTAATAGGCAAGGAGGGGGGGGGGGGGGAACAGTTCATTTTTCATAATTATGAGGACAGAGCAGATGATGATGAGAGATGCAAGTATAAAACACCATTCACAAGGCTAGATGTTAACATAGCACAGTATTTCTGGCAATAAAACGCTCCAACTGACCAACTGACCATTTCACACGAACATTTATCGCTGGATAATTTTGCGATTTTTCATGCAATTCAATCATATATATGCTCAAAATCTCCGCGGTAAGTTTCTCTTTACCATAAAATTTGACCGAATAAATTTCGAAACAATGCGACGGCAAAAAATGCAAAAATCCTGATTTTCGTAATAGAATCTATAGTCTTTTTGCCCTGTTGTACCGCCATCTTGGATTTATCATGTAGGCCCCATCTGCGCTAGGTATGCGTTAGCAATCTAGATCTCCTATATCTATGTTCAGAACGCCTAGCAGATTTCAGTATTTTTAATATGGCGGAAAATTTGCATATACAAATAACCTTGTTAATACGACAATATTCGTTGATCATATTCGTTGTCTACATAACCAAATTCAAACTGTATTAAAAATGTGCTCAATTAAAAAACAGTTTTGTTGTATAATCGTTGATGTTATTTATATACTCGCAAGTTGTGATCAACACTAGACCATACACAACTACGCTTTCTACTTGACAAGTTTAAGTAGCTGAGGGAATTGGACATATTTGCCTTACATGACTGTGTTGTCAAAACATTTTTAGTCGGAGACTCGGCAGTCGGCATAATTTTCAAGCTTCTAGATAGCATTTAATGGCTTTATATTTTAGTAAACACGAGTCATATTTAGCACGTTATTCCATTCTGACCGTATGGTAGCGATATGTAGCCTATTTCATTGTTCCGACAGTATTAGAGTCTAATTACCTAATCATAAACGCAAAGGAAATTTCCATAACATTTTCTATTTACAAATGCGGTATGCTTGGTAACCAGGCCAGGGACCACTTTTGTGAAATCAGGGACCATTTTACCGAAATCTGCTAGGCTCTCTCGCTGAAGCGTTCCGAACAGCACACCAAGGCATAAAACTTTTAAAACTTATTTAAATATAACAAAGCAGCGTACAGAGAGAGAGCCTGGGACTAGGCTGTATAAGACCCATTGCACATGACGTCACAGCGCCGGTGAAGATGCATCTGGAAGACAATTAAATTAGCAATCTATGCATAATATAACTTTTGTAAACAAATCAAATTTTGTAAAACTTTATAATAATTTTGTATTAAAATGGTTGATTTTTCCGCTGTATGTGGTTGTTGTACCCGAACAGATATTGTTAGGGAGCATCTGGAGGACACTCCAAGGATTTGTGACGTCAGTACAACGGGCCTATATATAAAGAATAGAAATAAAAAAGGTCAATTTAGCGCCACTGAAACTAATTTTCTTGTTTTTATTATTAACTGCAATTTTGATATATTGCAATTTTCTGCCACTTATAGTGACTATAATTAACCAATGCAACTTATTTTACAGAACAAACTGAACAACTTTGTTCACGTTCAGATAATGGATCTAGCCTATATATATGCAACGAAAGTTAATAGTATACTATATAATTATATAATACAAAACAATAGATACTCCGAAAATTGAAAGCATTTTGAAAAATTTATTTCGACGTTTCGACTAAACTATAGTAGTTCCCGTAATATAATTATATAATACTGTCTATTGAATATATGTAACTCGGTGGAGATCTGATAAGAACAAATTGAATAGCTGGTAAAGTACAGTATAATTTTTAGTCACAGAACCTTGGTAAAATCGAGGTGCTAGATATAAATGTAAGCTTGATTATCGATTTCCTCATAATTTTGTGAGACTGCCAATTCGGGCAAACACAAAGGCAATCGACAAAATTATTAGTTAGAGCTAGATAAGAAATTATAGCTCTCACTGAATAGCAAAAATAATGTTATTGTATCAGTGAACACTGTATTGTATTGCAGATAATTTATTGTTGCAAAGCTTTCGATTTGTATACTCCGAATACAATATCTTCATCATTCGGTGTTTAATTCCGAATTTTCATCATCGACATCGCGGTTGCATTTTTTCTGAAAGCCAGGACAGGAGATCAATTATGTTTCATGGCCACGCCAATTTCTCACGTTTTTAAAAACAACCTTCTCCATATACATACTTGTTCGCGCTGAAAGCAAGCGAATTTTTTTCGATTCCAACAAAATTGATTGAATTGTACGAGACTGCATTATAATCGATATACCTAAATAATACAACAAGCAACCATTTTTAAATGGAAATACACGATCGGTGCGGGTGTATTACTGAGAAATTCTGCACTGAACTGTACTGTTGTCTTGGATATTTGTATATTTAAGTTAACTTGTTAATGTAAAGAAGACTGCATAGAGGCTTGGACAAAAACTACTGTCTATATTCATTGTGTCTCTTCATTTCTATCTTCCGTTAATGAAAAGGTTTGATATGCCGTGGTTTTGGTAATTGTAAGTAGGCGTCCCCCGCGTGAGCTTGACAAAAGCCTCGCTATATGTGCACGTTGCACCTTGCCAAGATAACAAGACAAAAGTTGCTTGTCGTGAAAGGAAATTCATTCAATATCGCAAGCTAATATTAAATACGGTAGCAAATTATTTTGTATCAGTGAAAATACTTTAACATCTTTTTTAATGCAACGCCAACAATCTAAATTAAACCATGCATGATTACCTTAATTATCGATAGACTTAATTTACATAAGAAAACTCCTGATTGCCGCTATACTGTATACAACTTAAATTCAAATATGCTGGAACAATAATGAACTTAATAATAGTGATAATAACTAAAATTTTTTATGGATAGCAATTTACACAAAATAGCGATATAACTGATAAACGTGTGACGCTCAGTGAATGAAAAAATACCGGTAATAGATTTATGAATTGAAATCAAGTACATTCAAGTCTTTGGAGTGTAAGGAACTTTGAAATAAATAAAATTGAAATATTGAAAATTTGACAAAAGTTAGGCTAAATTATGGAAAATCACTACTTAGTCGTCCAAAGCGGATATAACTGCTGTTTTGAGGTACGAGGGGTATGCTATAATTATCTTTACTGGCTTACTTGTAGCTGAGAGCTAAGGGCCATTCCATTTAATGTCCACCCTACGGATGAGTTTTTCTGAAGGGTGACTCAAAAAGTCGTTTCTGAGGGGTTAAGCCTGTCGGCATCCTTTGATCTCTGCGATTATTCTGAGGGGTAAGGGAAAAATTTTGCAAATTTCTGAGGGGTGTTTTGTGTCGGCACTTTGATCTTTTTTTCTTAGGGGATAAAATTTTACTGACCTCATCCGTAGGGGGGGTGTGGATATTAAATGGAATGGCCCTAAGCTGAATTTCGAACTAGCCTCCCTCGCAGCCGCTGTTTGTGTCGTTTCTTAGTGAAAAGAATGCATGTTTACATCAAAATTGAAAGAGTTCGGAAGAAACTGTAACGTCTTTGACATAGGAAAGCCGAACAACATGTTTCTCAAGCTGTATAATCAAGGTGCATTTCGAATGACGAATTTAAGTATTTCCGCACGATTTTAAAAATTCGTGTGCATTGTGGAGGTTATATTTTTACCTAAGATTCATAAAAGGCTTCGAAATGTAGCAGGACGTCTGCTATCTCCAATTGTGGTACTTCAACAGAAAGGGTCTCTGAATTCTTAGATGATCATCTTAAACCCATTATGAAAGCTGGGAAGTCCTACATTCGAGACTCTCTCCTCCGCAGAGGCTTACATGAAGTTTCTAGTGAGGGAAAAGTGAGCGCGCGATGAGTGATGGGAAGAGCTAAATAAAGGAAGCCTCTGCAGAGCCTCCCCAACTTCATTTCAATCTTCCCATCACACCGCGCGCTCACTTTTATTCAGGAAACTTCATCTAAGTTATTTGTAAATACTTAAGGAGTCTCTGCGAAGGAGAGAGCATTCGAGATACAGGACATTTTTTGGATAAATTAAAAGAAATAGGTAAAGTTTCGGAAAATGCATTGCTTGTAACTGCTGACGCTACAAGTCTCTGTCCCAGTCCCCCACACGAGGACGGTCTGCGAGCACTTCCTACCAAGCTAAAAGAATGTGAAGATAGAAAAGTGTCATCAGAAAGCCTTATTAGTTTGGCGGAATTTGTCCTTAAAAATAATTATTTTGAATTCAATCCAGATGTTTATTGCCAAAATTCTGGGACCGCCATGCACATGGGCACCAACTATTTGCTCCTGCGTATGCATGCATTTTTGGATATGGTAGAGACCGAGTTTTTAGAACAACAAGTTACAAGTGTTTTTTGTAAACCTACCGATTGCCATCAATATCTACATTATGAGTCATGACACCCTGCACACGTTAAACGATATATCGTATATAGTCAGGATTTGCGCATGCATCAAGAAAATTTGCTCGCGTACGTGAAGAGGATTTTGAGAAACACTTACAGGAACTATCTAGTAGGCTTAAAATAGAGCATATCCAACATGGCTCATAGAAAGATAACTTAAGAGGCTCAAGGAATACATGCAATATTGAAGAAAGTCATAGACTTAGAGAAGAAAGTTGTAAGACAGGAGTGCCTTTAACTATAGTTTTCCATCCTTTCGTGAAGCACTTTGGTTTGGTAATTAAGAAAAATTCGCATAGTTTGTACTTAGACATAGCTCGTAAAGTATTTACCCCAGAGCCGTTTACGGCGTTTAGTCTCCGAGCCGGCGGCGCGAAGCGCCGTGCGAGGGTACTAATTCCCCCCGGCTATTTACACCCGGGGAAACGAAAGCATTAGCGAAGTCTAAAGTTCATCAATGAGCGCGGGCGTCGGTCACCAACGATGGGTGGTCGTCCTCACTGATCTCAAAAATATGGCGGATTGTCATGAATAACGGACACTGATTGGTCCAATTTAAAGTTTGCATTATGACGACTGCATGACGACAGCGAAATAGCAAACATTTCTTGATTTGATGATTGATCAATTTCTTTCAAATATATTTCAATTTTGCTCGTATTTCTGCAAGATTTTGTAAATTTCAAGAAAGAAAGGGCGAAAGAATCAGCTAAAAGAAGGGAGCCGACGTTAACGAAGGTAAGTTTGTTTTAAATATTGATTTATAATGACTTTAAAACCCGACGGCCTTTGCGTATATGAAACAACTAAACAAGACAGCATATATAAATTTCAGTGTAACTTTAATATTGATTCCCTTTTTTATTATATTGAATTTTTTAAATAAAAAATAAAGCAAAGACCAAAGTTATTTGCAAGCGAGAATTTGAAATCATTTTATGCAAACTCAAAGTTTATCGATAAAGCCATTAAATAGTTAAAGGCAGTTTAGTTTTATAAAGAACACTTTAAAACGTTTTTTGAATTGTTTGTGGTTGAATTTTACCTTAAATTGAAGCTTGTATTACGTATAATTACATACCTAACATATATATGTTGGGAAATTGATAATTTTGTAATTAAAAGTGATATTTTTAGGCGATTTTCATTTGTAAGAATATTCTTAAAAAATTATCGTGTTACCATGACAACTACTCTAGATACTTCCTGTTCGGAAAACACAAGGGTTTTGTCAGCAACGCGAGGGTTTCTGCATGCATGTATTTTCTAGTACAAACCGTAATTTAAGAAGCTATTTAGTTAGAGTAAGGTACCACCATTAGTAAGAGAGAAAGGATGCAAGGAATGTAATAAACCCCTGGGTTGACATGTCGAAGTAGTCAAGAAGCCGACACTTTTAGGTGGACAGCTGATGGTAAACAATACAAAGTGAACCATCATTTACTGTCGTTCCAATTGAAGTGTTGCTCAAATATTGATTCAATACATTACCTCTGGCTGACCAATTCATTTGATCAAGTTCCTCGAGATATTCATACACTTCCTGTGAAAGAGCTAATTCCAAGTATTTGATCATTTCTGGTCACTTCCTTTCTATTTATGGTTGGCTAGTTGCGCAAACAACAAAAGTGATTTGTGCATTCAAACTATTCAACAGGAAGTTTACAATTATACTAGGAAGTGTATGAATATCTCGAGGAACTTGATGAAATGAATTGGTCAGCCCGAGGTAATGTATTGAATCAATATTTGAGCAACACTTCAATTGGAACGACAGTAAACTGTGACTCAAAGTGTGTAGTTTATCTTTTGACATGTAAAGAGTGTAAGAAGCAATATGTTGGTCAGACGACAGATAAATTCCGCTTTAGGAATGATTATAAATCTTGCCAAAGGAAAGCGATGTCCAACAAAGCTCATACCCAAGCTTTTTTCATTCGCATTTCTTAGGCGAAAAACACAATTTGTACAATTTAGTTTACCTTGATGAAGATATGATAATAAAGTCTAAATGTTGAAAATATTTTAGTGATCAACTGATATAAATGTCTTTTTGCCAGGTAACCTGAAATTCTGGCCCTTTTATAGGGCCTGACACAAAACCTGTCTAAACCATGCGACTCCCGTCCATCTGGTGGACGGGAAATCTGTTTGGTTGATCAGCATCATGAAAGATTTTGATTGGTTGCAAGTTCACACAAACAATTTTTTTATAAACAGCTCGATTAAAGTAATTCCATTGTGATTATCGTAATAGTATTATCGAATTTCTTCGAATTTCTTTTGTTTTATGCTTTATGGCAGAACATAAATCAAAAAAGATTACAAAGTCGAAAAGTCGGGCAAATGTTCAACATAAGTCGGGCGAGGAGTGGGAAATTAAAAAGGCAAAAAAGTAGTCAAAGCAATAAAATCTCTCTTAAAAATAACCCCAGTTTGTTGGGCAGACAAAGCCAGTTCGGCAATATTCGCTTCACTGTCGGGCAATATTGGGTTATTATAAAAATAAATGGGACAAATTCTGTCAATTTTGCGGTAAATTATGTGAATTTTATGATGCTTGGGAAATGTGTTTGATGTTCCGAAAAATTTAGGTATGTCCGAAAAAATTTTGGTACAGTGACCAAAATTTTTTTAACGCCGGGGTCAAACTGGTCGGGCACAATCCGAAAAAGTCGGGCAAATTTCTTTCCGCCCCCTAATTTTTTCCTTCCGGTACGCCCATGCCTCATAAAATAACCTTTCGAACGGGGGGAGGGCTCAAATGCCGTCATGACATTACACAAACCAAAACAATCGTATATTTACTCACCGTTTGGCCAAACATTCTGTATTTCATATCGAGAAAAAACTTGAATATCTTCTAAACTCTTCAGATTTGCCCAAGTCAATAGGAGTAACACACTCCTTGTATTCAAGCGCTTTCGTGTAGAAAGTTTCGTTTGAATACGGTGACTAAAAATATTTGTTTTGAATTTTTCAAAATATCGGCTTTAAGGAGCACCAGTGGCCCAATTTTAAAACGTGCAAATTACGCTACAGGGTTAATTTTTTTACCTTTAGTCTTTTAGAATCGATTTCCCTCGATTTCCGACGTTTCCGAAGTGCTAGGCTAAACATCGCATTGTTTCATTGAAATGCCGAAATTGAAGGTGCAAAAGTGTAGATACAAACTTGAAAATAACACTCTAAATAGACTAAAACTGCCTGTACCAGTGTTGGTAGTACCAATGTGAAAATGCTGTGCTGAGTGGTTATATTACTACCTTAAAAAATAAACAGAAACTCGACGTTTCGAGCGAAGGTCCATCGTCAAGAGTTAGTAGCCCGCTACTAACTCTTAACGAAGGGCCTAGCTTCGCTCGAAACGTCGATTTTCTGCTTATTTTTTAAGGTAGTAATATAACCACTCAGCACAGCACTCTAAATAGAGTCTTGGAGATTGTGATTCGAACAAGACTATTACGAAAACGATATGTTGAAAAGAGCTGAAGTTATATTCGGCGAAAGGTATGATTAATAGTTATACATTGTTTTATACATTGTTCGAGTACATTGTCATTGTTCGAGTATGGGTAGTTTATATGTTATGGCTATTTTACGTTGTTCGAGTATATAGTATCTTTCAGAGGATTTTTTGGTGCTATTTTCGCATCCTACTGCACATACTACGGAGCGGCATCTGTTCTGCATGCTGGCGAGTTTTTTGGTCAGAATTTTCGATTCGAAGTGCCGTGCCGTCGGATCGACGATCGGAGGTGGTTTGCCTTTATCATGTATCATGTGTACTGGTGCCATCGAGTGCGGGGTCTCAGAAAGTGTTGGTCCAACGAAGGAGGAATGGGGGGAGAGTGCACACTGTTGGATGGGCATGCAGGTCATCGAGAAAAAGAATGATTATGTTATCAGACAAAAACAATGCATTGAACATAAGATCTGAACTGTTTAGCAAATGTAGGCATAGCAATCTAAGCAATCTAAGCGCGTCAGCGTAAACCGTTGTAATTTATTGCGAAATTTAACCGTTGTAATTTATTGCGAGAAACAGAGGGGACTTTCGTCGACGCTGCATAAAATTAGTGTGGGCTCGCGAGATTTTTCTCGCAAATTTTGCTTTTCCATGTTTGGCTTACAATTTCTAAGGATGTTGAAGTTGTCAGCATTGTGACTCACTGGTTTTTGAAAGCATTGGGTTTTTTTTCGTTGGAAGGCTTGCAGGCTAACTCCTCCACAACTTAATGACTGTTATTAAAGCAAAGCAATTGAAAGGCAAACTTATATTTTTATACGAAGAAGGCGAGTGGCGATATTTATGTTGGACTGTTTTGACCAGATGCTTCGAAGAACATGATATGATCGAACCTTGTATCTTAAAAGTGTACTAGGAACAGCCGAACAAAGTGGTAAATTTTGTTACCCGGTGTGTTGGGCATCATAATTCACAGGAATAGTACACAGCGGCGTTTAAGCTGGCTATGAAATATCCTGAATACTTCGTCGAGTTGTCTACCGCCATGTGACCTGTGGTTTAATGTGCATGGCATACGTCTTTGAAAGGGCTTTACTTGACTTTAATCGACGTGTAAGGCATAACTTAGGTAAGCCAACATTTCTTAGTAATGCAAGCTACATTTTCATATCTTGAATGTGTGAATCTTGTTAAATTTGTAAAAAATTAAGCGCAATATGTTGTTGAAGAAAGTATCGAGTGCTTCATAATAACGCTCAGATCTTGTATATAGAGATATTCGTATTTTATTCAAAATTTACCCTTTATCACCAGTTTTTTCATTCTTTTATGTTAAAGTATACATAATCCTTGACTTAATAACACAGTGATCTACTCGATGAAAATTGGGCGAAGGGGCGATCTTTGCAGAGCAACTTGACCTTTGCGTGAAATCGGTAGTTCAGAGACCCTATTTTCATTGTGGTATTTCGTGACAATTTGTTGGCCGATTTCTAGTTTATATTGTAGAACGGGTTGCTAGTGAATTAAATTAATTGTCTATCTTTCAAACAGTAATAATAAGCGCGACTCCTTTTTGTTGATGGATGTTGAATTCATTTTAGACTTTTGTTCACATACAACATGTACACTACCGAGTACTGAATGACTGTTTGCAAAGAAATTAGCTTACATCACCACCATAATTCAAGCTTATTTTTAAAGTCAAATAGTTTCTCCACGGATAAAAGTAGTTTTTATGGAGTCAAAATAGGGCAACGTTCTAAACAAATTGTTTTTATTTGCTGACAATTTAGCATTATAATTTACATATTCAATATTGTTTATAATATTAACATTGCTTGCCATTGGTTACTAAGATGAACGTTATCTACACACAACTTATTAATTAGTATCGAAACCTACAAAGTTTTGTATTGTTTGATTCAAAATTTCAAATCAATTACATTAATTACTAAATAGCTCATACTATGCTACTGTACTTTACTTTAGTGAGAGAAGTGCAAAATTGCTGCCACACAGGGACTCATGTTGAGAAAGGTAAGAACATGAAAATAGCCAACATCTTCTTCAACATGAAAATAGTCAACATCCTCTGTTAATACCACGTCCAAATATTTTATTTTTGGCAATAACCTCTCGAACTTCAAGGTTTGGTTGACCTGGTGGCAAATGAAGTTGGCTGTACAAAATGTTCCCAGTTTGAATGATTTGTTCATATCTGTTAACACTGCTTGTAAGTTCATCTGAACTAAAAGGGGGAATTCATGTGCTCGAGAGGAACGCAGGGGCGAAACTTGAGGGGGGTATGGGGGGTGTTGCACCCCCCCAAAATACGAATCATCCCGATTGGCAGGGCAATCAAAGGTCTCTTATAAATAAATGATAGCACATAGGCGTACCGGGCGGGGGCAATATTCGATCAACAGTCGGGCAATCTTGGTTTGAAAAAAAAAATGGGACAAATTCAGTCAATTTTATCTAAATTTAAGTCAATTTTTTAGCAAATTGTGTGATTTTTCGAAAATTTGTGTTATGTTCCGAAAAATATAGGTTGTCCGGAAAATTTTTTTGACCCCTAAAATGGTAGGAGGTCGCCAAAATAATTTTTCCGGAAAAATTTTTTTGGTACTTTTTGGCAGGGCATCACTGGTTTTGGCAGGGCAATTCTGCCAGACACCCCCCTAATTAAAAGGGGCTAGTTTCGCCCCTGGAGGAACGCTCTGGCGCATAATGTTCAAATTATTGTGCACGCATTACTAGCAGTTGCCACTCCAAAAACACGTGTTTGACATAATCATTCCTAACAACTGTTGCAATTTTTTCACTGGTTTTGACACTTGGTTTAGATGTTTTCCTATTGTTTTTGCACACTCTCTGGCTTCTTCTTGGCATGGCTGTTGTGATGTTGCAGCACAAGAGTTTTTAGTAGCTAGACTTGCGATATTGTTATTTTTGACAGCTTGTTTCAATTTGGCACTGCTGTTTTGTCGATGGTGTAGCAATGGTGGTTTTGCTTGACCCAAGATAATATGTTCGAATTTAATGATTTAATTGTTTGTTTCAATTCTTCTAGGATACTCTAACTGACTGACAAACCAGTATTTGAATCTGGTGTACCGTTACACGATTCTTCATCATCTTTGTCAGTGTCGTTCTCATCAGGGAAGATAGCTTCAACATTTTCATCTTGAGGATGTAGAATGGCAATTCTTGAACCTTTTGCGAAAGGAATTGTTGGTATAATGGACAAAAACCTGCCTCTTGTAGACAAATTGTGTGGAAGGAATAACCACAACCTTCGAAAATCTTCCATGGTTCTTCAGTATTCTCAATCCTGCAGCTTAGGAGGTCACATCTACAACTTTCGTCTGGTTCCATAGAAGAATGGCAGCCAACCGGAAGCACAGTCTACCTCATATCAACTTGTCCAAACAAATCGTGCAAGCATACATATTTTGTCCTCTTTTTGATGGTCTTAGATGCTGATCCTGGATGGCTGTGGATCTTGTTGATGACGGTGGTTAGAAATTGTGCAAATTTGGTCTTGAGGAACTGGGGTTTTCTCTGCTTATTCAGAACACTAATAAACAATGTGTATAAATGGCTGCGTTTTAACTCCAAAAAAGCAAGCAACGCAGTCAGTAATTGCCAAATTTGCAAGTGCTCATTTTCAACTAAAATCGGAACAGGCAAATTAAGACGAATTTCAACAGAAAACCAGTCTCAAACTTCAAATCATGAGGGAGGTCGTGCAACCACATTAGGATTTATATTATGTGTGCTTCGCTGTCGCCATTGGCATTGTTATAAATAAATTGTCTCACTTATCAGATCGTGTGTGCAATTCTTGTTGGCGGCGGAAAGTACGAAATTTATTTCATTTATTTCATTTGGCAAAGAACTCTAAGAAGAGACCGTTCCGAGTCCAGATCGTTTCGCTTCAAACGGCAATTTAATACCGCCTTCTGTTTCGCTCTCTCAGCGAAGCCTTGTAAATTGGAAAGTGTTTCGAATAGGCTTACAGCTCGCCTCAGCTAGCCAATGGGAATTTAGCCGGCGGTTCGGCCGGCGAAAATCTAAAACATGGGATGATGGTTGCAGGCCCACTATCAGTTCCCTTGGGCCTGCACGCAGGCTAATGCTATGTGAAAAAGGTGACGTCATTGATTTTGCAAGCTCATTATAAAATCCGCCATATAGGGTCTATTACTATTCAAATAGCCATATGTGTTTTGCGAAAATGACCAAAACAAGACATTTTAGGCACACTAATTTTGATTTGTTAAATTTGTAGGACAATATCCATTTTTATTACCAATCACCTTTTGGACAAAACGTGGATATGACTAATAAACGTACAAAAAGCTTTTTTATAAGACACGGCTATGAGTGTTAAATTGCATCAGTTTGATAACGTAAACACTTAGACACGACGAAAGAATATTATCTATGCAATTTGTTGTTGTTTTAACTTTAATTTATGTGACTTGCACTAGCTTACCGCATGCAGGTTCCAAGTACATTTTGAATTGGTCAAAGAAGTGTTAAGTGTTTGATAAAAACACGGTCAATATTTCCATGAGCTCTTTCGTCAATACTTTGCATGCTTATCAGACATCTTCAATTTTCAAAACTGGATTTTTATGAGCTTATTATATAGACAGTTTTTTAAAACCATTCCAAACATTTGCGATTAGATACATTGTGTTGTTGAGTGGATATAGATAACAGTTCTGAATGTTTCAAACTTGGGCATCCCAATAGCTTAGTGAGTCAGTGTCTTTGGATTAGGTGTCTTATCAGGTTAAAAATCCGAGGCCATAGGACAATGTAGGTTAACCCAGCCATGAATTACCATATCTGAGACCAATCATTAATAGTTGGTGCCTGGCATAGCTCATTCTCAAATTGTTATGGTGGTCAGGCTTGATACGCAATCGATACGTTGGTGCGATATAATCGTTAGCAAAACTATGGGATTATATGCTGCAATTTCACACAATTTGAAATGTGTAGCGTCCCCCGTTCCCCCCAGTCAATGTTGGGTCGACAAAAATCTGATGTCTGGTTGCAAGACGCCAACACTGAAATGAATCTGGGAAGTAGGGTGGAAACCATTTATCAGGAAATGGTATAACACATCTGAAAGTGCATGTGAAAACTAGATTGGCCTAATGTGTATTGTCAAAGATTGTATATTTAAACAGCAAACCAAGTATGCGTTGAAATTATTACGGCCACAAAGCGTATTGGCATTATCATAAATGCCAATTACTTTTTTAATTATGCACAACGATAAGTTTTTAAAGCAACTGAACTATAAATCAAACAATGCATAAATATTTAAAACAAACTTACCTTCAGGGCCTTTTTAACATACAAGATGGGGGCCCTTGTGCCCCCCCCCCTCCCCCAATTTTCCTTAATTGTTTAACAAAATAAACTTGAATTGTTGCGTTTATCTAACACTAAGTAATTATAAATTATCGTTAATAAACTGCCACTGACTATTGCCGGCTGTCAGTGTCAAAATGGCGTCGATTGTAGTCATGACAATCTGATACTTACACTCTTGAAATAAAAGTATGATTAAATATGCTTGTTGCGCAGAAACGAATACTAGAGAATGAAAAAAAGTTGTTCCCATCGTAAGAAACAAGAAAAGAGAGGAAAGTAATAATACTAGTGAGTAGTGGCCATGCAAGTAGTCAAGAGATACATGATCGCGAGCAGAACAATTTTTGTTCAAAATGAAGATGATATAAATGGAAATGAAAATCAAGGTATGAATTCCTTTAACGATGATGGTAATAACGAAGCACGACTGTGAAGCGGTGCAATTTGTAAGTTTGATTTGAGACCAAAATTGCACGACACAAAGTGCAATTTCCACTTTACCATATTCATTTGACATCTTAATTTTAAAAACAAAATTTGTAAAACGGAAACAGTTCTTTGTTTACGAAAGACATCTCCCTGATACTCCCCTAAATGCCGAAAATTTTTACCAAAAAAAGGAAGAAACTTATGGATACTGCGAAGACTAAAAGACAACCAATGTAAGTTTAAACATACTATTATTATAAGTTCTACTAGCAAATTGATAGGGTTTTGGTGCGGTTTTGTTCATAACATCAAGAATGAAATTATACGACTACGAATTACCTTGTTTAGTTGTTTTACCTGTGGCTTTATTAAGGGGTATAGGTATTTTTCGAGTTAAGCTCTTCGAGTTGAGCCCTTTTCGAGTTGAGCCCCTGCCACACCCTTTTTCGCCGGGGGCTTAAGTCGAAGTCAATTAACGATTTAAGCATTCTAGTTAAGCCCGACATTCGGTGTATGTAAACAAATGACGCGTGTATACTGGAAAAAATATTTGCAAATAAAGACGGAGAATGTAAAATTTCAGCGATTTTAAGAAATATATTTTACTAAGATTTGTGTTGTTTTGCGTACAGTTTTATACAGGATTTGTAAACAACACAGCTCATTCAGGGCGGCAATTACGGCTTTAATTAAAAAATAAATAATATATAGCGGCACTTGCAGAACGCAAATCGTATACATGTTCATATGGAGTCGAGCTACCTTTCTGTTTTATTCGCCGCATCATTCCTATTCCTTTTGAAGCTTTCTCATTCCAGAACCATCCTCATTTTTTGTGACAGTATCTCACCAAGTTCAATTTTAGGGTCCGTTAATTACTAAGTTTGGAATTCGTTGTCTTCAGCCAATAATCAATTATCTTTGTTAAGTGTAAGTTTGCTTGCAAGTAACTATTGCCCATTGGTGTACATTTTCTAAGTCCACGTTTATGTGTTCTTGTAGTTCGTCATTTGTCTTGCCATTGGTTGAAATATTTGTGTCGTCGGCAAACATGCTTGCTGAAGATGAGGTCAGGCAAATTGGCAGGTCGTTTATATATAACAAGAACAGAAGTGGCCCAAGATTAGAACTTTGGGGTACTCCACATTTAACAGTTCTCGTTTTGGACATTGTTTGAACTACCTTGCAAAGATAGAACTAGAACCAAGCAAGCGTATGACCTCTTATTACATAACAATGCATTTTTTTGAATAATATATATTATGTTCAACACACTCAAACGCTTTCTTAATAAACCCTTATTCATATTCATTAGCCATTGCTTTGTGATCTTAAGAAGGGAAGAGTGATTTTTCCTAAATGTTGCTTGTTGTTCTACAAGTCTGTGATTAGTTTCAAGATAAATTTCTAGTTGCTCTGTAACTAATCATTTGTCGTATATTTTAGCAACTGAAGATAGAACCGAGATTGGCAGTGGCGTAACGCAACCGCTGGGGGCCCTCCGTCAATCGGCCATTTTGGGCCCCCTTTGCTCCACTAAAAATAGGCTCCAAAAATTTTTCTCGGAACAATTTATTTTTGGCGACCACCCATCCCCACACCAATTTCTCCACGGATTTAGCCTTTTCCAGAGAATGTTTTTTTTAATTCAATTCAATTCAATGAATTCAATTCCCCAGAAATGTGCTATCAAATTTTTTATGGTCATTTTTGTTGGGGGCCTCCCGTCACTGGACACCCTGACACCCTCCCGTTACGCCACTGGAGATTTGTCTATAATCATCGCAATTAGTTTTGCTTCCAACCTTATGAATTGGATAAATAATAGCAATCTAACATGAATTATACCAGTGTTTATAGATGTTTACGGATTGAAAGCTTTGCAGTAATAAATTTACGAGCTGTTTCAACAAACAAAACTATTATATGTTTTATCGCCAAGCAAACATACAAAGAACTTGTTTATAGATGCGTTAAAGATTGTTGTTGGTGATGATGCTATTACTTCAGCAGCATCTCTTAGACGTTTACCAGGTATTTTATCATGCCCTGCTGATTTGTATGTTTTAATTCTGTAATCCATGGCGCGTACTCGCCTCTAACTTTTTTCTTCTTTCTGGTGCATGAAAATCTGCAACCGACAAAAATATTGTTTTCCAATTTTCCTACATAATATTTGGATCAAGTATTGTATCACATAATATTTGATCATATAGGTATGTGGAAAGGTCTGATTTAAAGTTGTTTGAGTTAGGCCTATAGTGTTTTTGAAATGTCTTGATTTAATAACTTTTGGCTGTTTACGGGGAACGGAAATTTTTCTCTGTATATACAGGGTGTATCAAAAAAAGCGCAACCTCGGAATTTCACAAGAAATCGACATTGTTTTAAAGACAAAAGATTTTAGGCGCCTGGGAATTTAAAATAGCATAACTGTCAAAATTACTGCACACGCGAGTGCATAAAGCAAAATTTATGCATTTATTTAATGCACAACAACAGTAATATGATCTATTAGCAATTCGATTTCAATTCCCAGGGGCCTAAAATCTTTTATGCTTAAGAATTGCAAAGTGATTTCTTAGGAAATTCCGAGGTTGCGTTTTTTTTTATACACCCTGTAGATTAAGCTGTGACACTTATCTCCAGATGCAATATGAATTTATCAATTCCGATTTATTTGTGAATGCTATATCTATTAAGGTTTTACTATTAGCTGTAATTCGCGTTGGATTACTAATTGCTGAAATTGTTGAAATTGAAATGTCTGTGCACCTCCAGCAAGTTTGTCTGAGCGTTAGCGCTGTTACTATCCAAACGAGACCAATCGCTGTTGTAATCCCCAAGTAAAACGACTTCTTTGTTTTCAGAGTCCATTTAGGTAATTAAATCCTCAAATGCATTGAATATTTCAAGTGTTGTATTGGGTGGTTTATAACAACTATTATAATTTAAAATGGTTTGGCTTTTGGTTTTGAAATTTCAAGTGCGATTGTTCCGAATTGGCTCCAGTATGGCTTCTTCTGTAAAACCCTGAATCAATCTGAAATTCACCCTGACCCTCCCAAAACCCCTCGAAACCTCAAAGCACACCAGAAACTTACTGCAATTAGCGTCGAACACAACAATTTGTATATTTATGAGCCATTACTTGAATTGATATCATTAGCCCGAATTTTTTTATTGACTCTTGGAATTTTCGCAATAGCTTCGTATGTTGTTATAGTTTTCTTTTTTCATTCTTCGTCAAGAAACGAGCATGATATGTAGCAATCAATGAGTCTCTACTGCTTTTAAAATTAATGTTTATAAGCAGCTGGTGTATACGTAATCATTTCATTGATTATGCACAATTTTTAAACTTGCTGATTCCCTTAGAATTTTCAACAAGTTTATTGGGATGTTGTTCCAATATGCTGCTCTTCTGTACGAAAAGCTATTTTTCAAGAAACTCGTTTTGGTTTAGGTTGAAACCAGGGGCGAAATTATCCCCTTTTAGTAGGGGTTGTCTGGCGGAATTGCCTTGCTAAAACCAATGATGCCCTGCATGCAGCGTGCAGTGTCACTGCTAATACACTACATCACTAATTTAGCTATATATAATACGTGTATAATTGAACTGCCGATACCAAAGTACATGCATACGAACTGCTTATTGTTTGCTAGCTGTAATAAGTTACTCTACATTCTATCATTTAAAGTCTTTGATTGCCCTGCCAATTGGGATGATTCGTATTTTGGGGAAGGGGTGCCACACCCCCCATACCTCCCTCAAGTTTCGCCCCTTGTTAAAACGGCTTTAAATTACTGCTGCGCAATTTGTAATTAATCATTATGTATGTATAATGCCATTAATCACATTTTCAAAATTAAGTCAAGAGGTTTTCAAGTAAATTTTTGAAAATTTAGTAATTAAAAACAGTAATTAAAATGAACTAATGGGCCATACATAATTTGTAGCGCATCTAGGTTTTTCTCAAATGATTAATATTTTTTTTTTATCTTGTTGCATTGTTTTTCATTCTGCATGTTCCAGCTAAGATTGTTGTCTATAACTATATCCAGAACTTCTTTTTTATAAACTCGTTCAATTTTATGTCTCTTTATAATTATTTTTGGAACGTGATTTAAGTTTTTGAATCGTTGCCGAGATCCAATAATCATATATTTAGGTTTTAATTGTGTCAATGTTTTGATAACCATTCTTTCTTCGTTTGCATACACACCACACTAACAATAGAAGCATAATGATGGCGCATAGTATTGCTATCGCGACTCCCACAGCATTGCCAATTCCAAATTTACGTACACTACACACGAACTTGTCCCAGCCAGATAGTTCAAGGGAGCTAGGAGCAGAACTAGCCTCGTCCTGGAGTTTTTTGCTTGACAACTGTGTATTACTGAGGAACATAGACAAGTGCTGGTAGTGCTCATCTTTGTACCAGTCTATCACTTGTATGGATATAGTATCATCTTCTGGACACCAGTATGAACCATAGACCTTACCAGTGTGCATCACCAGGTCATTCATTTTCCTCACGAGTCTTAGTGACTCACGTCGGCGATCTGCCATGTATAGCACGTCAGTCATGTTATCCTTGGCATAGTTGTTAATTATCTTTAAACCAGAGGCGCCATAGAGAACATAAACATCTGCACCATTATCTCCAAAAAGCATGTCATTCCCATCATTAGGATATAGGAAATCATTACCACCTCTCCCCTTCAAAACATTGTTGTCACCATTACCAGCCAAGATATCGTTAAACTGTGAGCCGATCAAGTTATCGATACTGATATATACATCATTCATTGCGTCGCCACCAAATCCCTGGCCAAATAACAGATCCAAAAACACGCCCGTACGGTTGTAAATATCACCTTTAAATATGACAGTGTCTCGTCCAAGTCCTCCGTCGATCCTGTCCGGGCCCTCGCCTGGGTAGATCAGGTCATCACCTAAACCACCAAGTATCCAGTCTTGGCCTGGCCCCCCTACAAGGATGTCATTTCCCAATTGGCCATCGATGAGGTCATCTCCTTCTCCACCTTTAATGACGTCATCTTGATTATTACCTTCAAGTAGGTCGGGATATCCGCCTCCCGTAAGTGTTACTGAGTTTAGATTGGCTGTCAGATGATTTGGGCCTTTTGCTGCCCCATATACTTTAATAACGTTAGCCCATGTGTAGTTATCACCAAGGTTGATGGCCACTCGACCATGCATGGAATGTTTGTCTATCAAAAATGCTTCTGGGAGGTACGTGTTATTCGAGAAGTGGAAACTTATTTTATCTCTTGTAACGCCAATCAAATGTTGCTGCTGAGGATTTTTCTTGTATCCCAGCACTGTCACTGTCTGATTACTTACCGAGATCGCGTGGTGACTGTCGTTTGCATTGTGCACGCTTCTCAGTAAGATGAGGTCGTCTTCATGCTGTTGAACTGCAAGGTTCATATAATTATCTTGCAGTTGTACTGTATCGGTTTTATTGTCACTTGCAAAATTATCTACGACGACGTTACCGGAGTGGATTATGTAGGTATCAGAACCATTACCTCCCTCTACGTGGGACCAATTTCCTCTTGCTTCGATTATGTTGTTTATTTGGTTACCAATTAACGTGTTTGATGTGGACGTGGACCCAATGATTCTTTGAACTGTCTTCCATTCGTCATGCGTTGCGTCGATTGTCACGCTTGTGTGCGAACTCGACTTGTCTATCACCACCGGTATTTTGACAATGGCGTGGTTTTGTTGCAGAGGCAATCTGAATACTACTCCATCAATAGACTTTACAACAAGGTGCTGGTAAAACTCGTTTCTGAACCATCCGCGCAGGCTTGCACTGAACAGCGGGCTTTCTCCACACCTAGATGCATTAGTTTTAGGTGGTTGTGCGCATGCCTGAATAAGAAGATCCTTGACTTCCATTGCAATAATTATGTTGTCATAGGAACAACCAAATAAGAGAAGATCTTGCTTACGGTCCATTGCTACATTTACAATAACGTCATGTCCATCACCCTTATGTAGTGTATAGACGTCAGCTCCCAATCCTCCCTCAAGCCTGTCATTTCCTTGCTTTCCAGATAAGAAATTATTTCTGCCATTACCAATTATTACATCATCGAAAGGGGAACCGACAACTGCCAACACTGAGCCATAATGCGCATGTGCGGTAAGATTCATGTATTGAGATCCTAACATATGTTCAAAGTCTATCAAATATGGAGTGAGAATAACTTGTTCACTGCCATTGGTAGAGATTTTAAACACAACCCCATCAGAAGACAAGCAGCTGAGGTGTTGGTATGAGACGTTAACAAACCAATGTACAATGTTCACACAGATGGCGGTTTCGCCTTTACCATACAACTGTACTGATTCGTCTGCAGTCCGTTTTACTTCAATTTCGTCAAACTTAAAATTGAGCGATAACAAGTCAACTACATCATCAGTGGCAAAGTTATCTATAGTGTTGCAATCGTCTTCCTTGTTGATTGAATATTTGTCGGCCCCTGGGCCACCTATTAAGTAATTATTGCCCCTGCCGCCTGCTAAATGATTGCCCAATGTGTTTCCTATCAGCGTATCCGAGAAACTAGAGCCGGTAATCACATATACGTGCGACCAGATGGCTAACGACGACGTGTCAATCACATGGTTATTCTTCTGTTGAGCGTTTGAATGATCGATAGCCACAGCGCGTAAATCAGGCTGCCCAAGAGCTGTGGTCGCAACTTCAAATATCACCCCAATTCTGGCCTTAAACCTGAGATGGCGGTACGCCACATCACTAAACCATTTTTTTAAAGTAATAGTGTGATCTGTGGTGTGAGCGAGCACAAGATTCTGACCTTCCCTGGTTGCCCATATCCTACTAAACTCCACGTCAATGGAAAGGAAATCGTCGATGTTGTCTTTCGCATAGTTATTAATTTCTGTAAGCCCTCCATAATCAGGGACAATATATGCATCCGCACCTTCCCCTCCCTCAATATGGCTTTTTTGTGGTCCAAGGAAAAACGTATCATTGCCACCATGCCCGTACAGTTGGTAGAAATAATCTCCTAAGGAATAGCCTAGCTTGCTAATAATACTTTCATCGAGTTTTTGTACTGTGAAAAACTTGTTGTTTTTTGAATTGCCGTGATACGTTCCATGCAAGCTTGATCTTTCATCCTTATGACCTGAGATGACGGTTTTGGAGTGAACAGGTATAAACCACAAGAACTTAATTTTTATCTTTTTCCAGCTGAGTGATGAAGCTTCTCCGATCCCAACGACGATGTCTTGCACATCACTGTTGAGCGTAAAAGTTTTAGTCAATGATCGCTGATGGCCGCTTGTGTCAGGGATTTCTTCGAGAGTCAACTTTGCCATTCCATCCTCTAATAAAATGAAGTCGATACTCCCTCCCTTCCACGAAGTTGAACCATCAGCAAAATTAATTAATTCTGGGCCACCATTTTTTTCCTTTTCAATTTTGAAGTAGTTGGCATAGTTAGACAGCTTATGAACGTAATCTACGTCCTTGTCATGTTCCTTGTCAAGTTTATGGGAGTTTGTAATGGCTGCAAAAATCATACCAGGCAGAGTAAACTGCTCCCAGATATCAAAGCTTGCTTCACCAATACCTTTAAAGACAGCTTCTATCTTCTTGCCGACACTTGCATCAGAAGGTAAACTTTTTATCTCCATACTAATTTCATTATAAAAATCATCAATCCCAAGTCGAACAATACGAAGTGCCATGCTCAGTGGCTCAGCCTCAGGACCAAGTGTATCTGTTATCGTAATGGCTGCGTCTAGGCCAGCATCGATATAACCGATTGTTGAATGCCTATTGATATCTTCCACTATGTTATACACCGCAAACCCGACGCCAATGAAACTACCAATCCCGTCATCTAGGACCTTAATCATTTCCTCGCTTGCTACTTTGGATACCACGGCTTCAATGTTACTAAATGACTTGCTGAGCACTTTGGAAAGTGCTTTGCCAGCTATGCGACTAATGCGGCTATTAAGTTTTGAAATTGCACCCAGTCCGTAAAGACTTTGATCCAAATTTACCGCTCCGGCTACACTATCTCCATCTTCAAACTCAGCGATTGCACCACCTAACCCACTGATTGTCAAATATACATTTATCACTTCATGTGAATCATGTATCTTGCCTCCAGCTTCAACATTTGGGTCCATCTTAACTAGTTCATCGTTCATGTTGTCCAACATCTCTTTTGATTTAATTTTTTCATGTTCAATCGTAGAAGAAAGTTCGGTAAGTGTATTCGGATCGTTATTCTTGACTACCTTAAACTTGAGTTGATCACCGTCAAGTTGAAGGGAGTCGTCAATAAATTTTAGGTTTTTAACGTCCTGATGGCTTATTTCTTCTCGAATGGTTTCTTTGATCTTCTTTTGGAGGTAAATGTGATCTTGTTCCAAAGCCATAGACATCATTAATGATCTACCTCTTCCCTCTACACTATTACTACGCATCCTGATATCGTGGACTTCACCAAGCGATCCACTTGTTTCCTCCGGCTGCAACTCCTCTGTCGTAAGTCTTTTCTTAGCAAATGCCTTGAAGAGATTTTCATCGGAAATCTTATTATCTTTGCGGTTTTTAATCGATTTAGACAGCTTGGATCTCACTTGTGAGAATTCTACTTCATCCACACAACGAAGGTCACAGTTTTTAAGTTCACGTGTCTGAGTAGTCAGCCACAATCTGATGAATATAAAAAATTAAAGTAGAAGTCGTGTTAAATCTATATGTTTACCTCACTAGCATATAGAAAATCGAGAAAAAATATAGGGAAAGTTGGTTTCTGTATGTTTCCTAAATTACCTTATTTAGTTTAAGGAGAAAAATAAAATTTAAACAGTTGCCGTGTACTCACAAACTTTAATCAGAGCAAATTAATTTAAACAACTAACTGAAATAAATTACTCAATATATAATTTGAACTTTATTAAGTTAAAAACAGTTTATCGGCAAAAGAAGTTTAGTTGAATAAACCTTTCAAAACAGTTTACGAAGCGTTTCAGATTACATTTTAAATTATTTAAATCAAAGCTTACAAACTACAAAACAACATACCTTCAGTATATATTTTGGAAATTCATTGCTGTACAGTTAAAAGTACTATTAATCTTTCAACTATTTTTGCCATTTTGTACAAAAAATATAAAAAATTTAAAATTTTTAGAATGATTGTGTTTGTATGGCAACACTTGACACACAACGCGAACCTGCCTTCAGTATTGGCCAATTACTAATATTTCGTGTTAAATCGATGTTTGGAAAATATAGGCGAGGTATTGTTGCATGTATGTATTTTTAGTACTGTTACAATTGTAATTCTTACCTCACAAAACTAAGTTCCTTTGGTCTGACCGACTCTTCATTCTCCTCGTTAAGCCCTTGAAACCCAGTGAACTCCTTTTTAGGCCACGTGCCGCCACGTGCCATGGGATGATTATCAAGAAACTCGGCGCTAGTTAGCCGTCCGTTTTGATTCAGATCAATAGCCATCATGTTAATCGCATGTGTCCTAAAGTTTCGGCAGCTCTCTGCTAAAAACACGGCGAGCGACAGAGAGGATTCATAAAATGTTGGGTTTTTCGCCCTTGTAAGATCCTGGTTCTTGCCTTTTATCCACGTCTCTGCCACATGTAGCGAGTACTTCCCTTTCATTCTGTTTCGCATGTTCTGATATGTTGGATCAAAGTTTTTAGCGGCTTTTAACTGCGACGTAATCTCATCTGGTAACTTTTCTTTTATTTCCCCATCTCTTTTTATTATGCCTACGAAATCCGTTCCCACACAGAAGTTTTTGAGATTAAAACTGATGACCCAGTCTCCAAATCTGTAGTATTCAATAGCTTTACCATTATACACTCCCACAAGGCCTAGCCAGTTGATATCACCAACTAGTTGTTCATAGCTCTGCACCTCGCGTATGTTGGGCACGATAGTCTCCTTTACGTGTTGTGTTTGCTCGTCGAAAGTAAATACCCTTTGTTCGCTAACAGCTGCTCCCACGTTAATCTGATATTCCGTTTTGGGGCTTCCAGTTTCCTTTACGGTAACTTCGTGGCCTTTGTTTTTAACGTATTCATAATTCCCTTTTGGTAATTGATTTTTCTCGACAGCCTTTTGTACAGCCTCTTGTACCAGATTATTGTATTCACTGGTAAACGTTGTCTCGGTCTTCTTAATTAAATAGCTATCCATCTGTTCCCAGCTCACGTAGGAAAAATCTAGTGGCTTGCCCTTCTTATTAGACATAAGTACGAAAATGTCACCTATCTGCAAGTAAAATGACAAAATATGAAGTAGGTTTTCCAACACAACTAATATAATTAATTAACCCTGAATTACGTAAAAAAACTAGTTTATTTGTCATAGCTGAAATGATGAAGTTTATTCTGTAGTTCAGCTTAATTGTTTTTTCGAACCGTGCGCAAAATTATGCAAGCAGATTCGTTGCTAAGTGATTCGAAATTTTACGATATTAACTGCATGGGAACACGTTCTACTATAGGGTCCAATATTCTATTTAACAGAATTTGAGAGGAAAATGAAAGAAAACACTAAGAAATGCAATGAATACAGCCATGACTGTGGAGAAATTATACATCAATGTAATAATTCTGCATGAAAACAAGAATTCCTTTTCAAACATGATAAAAATTGGTTAAAAACATAAGAATAATTGCAAATGTGGATAATGACAGATTTCATGTATTAATAGGAAAATCACATCAAATGCATGTTAAAAATGACTGAAAATATATTCAGCAAAAACATACACATTTTGCAACAATTTTAGCTTTTCCAAGTTGTCAGATATGACTAAAATGATACTAAATCTCTAAGAAGAAAAAACTGCTAAAAAATTTGGGCAACATTTATTGTTTTTAGCAAAGTTAGTAAAAGGCATGTGAATAAAAGGGGGAAAAAAAGAGGAAAATGTTATAGTTCCAAAACATGTCTGGAGGCAGCCACAGTCAGTGAAAATTATATATGAAGAACATGTCACCTTCGATACATCGAAAACTCTAAACTATGTAATGCTTCGATACATCGAAAGATTTCAATTTCCACAATATATCGAAAGAGTGCCATTTCCTCGATATACAGTATCGAAAGAATGCCATTTCTTCAATATATTAAAAAGAATGCCATTTCTTCGATATATCAAAAGAATGCCATTTCTTCGATATATCAAAAGAATACCATTTCTTCGATATATCGAAAGAATGCCATTTCTTCGACATATCGAAAGATTGCAAATTCCTCGATATATCGAAAGATTGCAACTTCCTCGATATATCGAAAACTAAACTATCCATGGCTTCAGCATATTAATGCCATTCCTTCGATATGTCAAAAGATTGCCATTTTTTCAGTATGTCGAAAACTCTAAACTATCCATGGTTTCGATACATCAAAGAAATGGCATTGTTTCGATATATCGCAGAAATGACATTCTGAAAAACCAAAAGGATGTCATGTCTTGCCAAAACAAGCCATGTTTGAAATATTGATAGTAAAACAACAAAGTATAGGGCACAATTCAGCTCAATGGGTTAGCAATATGGTATACACTCAAAATATAACACATTCTACGATAGTGTTGCATATTCTATTTAGCTTTTATCAAAATAATCGCATGTACAGTCAGGGCCGCCAAGAGAGAGAGGGGGGGGGGGCGAATTGCCCTGGGCTCTCACCTTAATAAGGCCCAGAGCATTTTTGAAATTGAGGGCCACTTACAGAGTTACAGTACCTACACATGCAGTCTAGCTAAGGTTTAGTTGGGTCTAGCTTTAAAATAATAATGTCATGCCCCCCCCCCCCCAGGGAAGGTTTGCCTTGGGCCCCGCAAATTCTCTAGGCGGTCTTGTGTACAGTATAGCTAGCAATATAAAAAATTAGTTTGTCTCATTCAAACGAACTCTGTTTGTTTGAAATGTTTTTAATCATTTCTAAATTTCTGACAGCAACCAAAAATTCGTTTTGGACCCATATTGATCGCTTACTCTCAAGATAAAAATTAGCGTGACCCCTCTCTTGACGTAACATGCATATCCTCAATAATCCAAGATGGCGAACAGCTTTTTTCAGTCGAAATATAAACAATATAAACAATCTGTAATAGAGTTTAATATATAGTTTTAAGAGTTCTTTCAAATGAACTAAACTAATTTTTTATTGCCAATGTCCTTTAATAGTCTCTTCTGCGCTATAACTATATTGCTTTAGGCAATTTTCTCACGACAATGCATTTGGACCCGGTAACATGCAGACCACTGCAGATAAACCAGTCCCACAGCAGCGATGCAATACATCAAAAGAGTTTATCTTCACAAAACATTACATGGTACTGATTATATATACCTTCTTGAATAGCTGTGCTACTGTCAATCTCCTTTATCAGGTGGTCTGAGCCCTCTATGGTTAAAGCCAGTTCTTTTGTGTTTGATGTGCTACAGCATGCAAAGGTGATACATCATTTGGTTTACATCAATCTAAAAGAATGGAAAAAACTATAAGTCACAACAGACACCATTACAGTTATTACTGCCAATCAAAGAACACAAGAGAATCGGATATACAATGGCATACCGTGACCTACGAATATATGCCCTGGGCTTATATTCGTTCTTAAAGATTTTTTGATGGGAGCTTATGTACAGGGGACTTATATACTTTTTATATAATTGCATCTGTAAAATATGTGAAGTGTGAACCATAGCCTCAGTCAAAACACGTTCATGACCAGTGCCAGACATGTTGCAAAATATATGAACATTTAAACCTTTTCTGCTTCAATTCATAGACAGATGGGGAAATAGTCTGGTCAACCCATTAAGCAAATATGAGCGTCAGCACTCTTCCCTCATCGAGCTGGCGTGAGTCGTGAGACAGAGTAAAATAATCTAGAAAAATTTCCTAGTAGAATATTGAAAACTAGAAGTGATGATCATTCCTATGTTGTACAGTTAAAACACAGACAAGAAGGCATATGTATTTTTAAAATGAAAACAATATTCTTGGGACCGCTTCAAACGTTCAAACAAATCTACCAACCTGAAATTCGCACTATCTTGACCTTGATCTGGACCTTGGCAGCAATTGAACGCTCTTCCCTTCGATTTGATCTTTGGACAGAATCGACTGTTTAGCTTTAATTTTGTTAAATATTTAGTATTCATGTTCATTATTCATATCCAAGCACTGTCCTCACAAAGATTTACCATAGTATAGCTATTATAACGCTGATATACGCCGTTGAATACGATTCGAATTCAAAATTTATAGATATTGTGCCCCAAAGAACGAACAATAACCAATGGTTTATGAAACGAAACACGACGATGTCCATAAAAGGACATAATCGAAACTAGCCTCCTCGGCAGGCATCTCTTAATCGTCGAGAACTTATTGCTGCCGTAGGCGACACGCTATACTTCACAACTGATTTTGACGTTATGACTCGTGCCAGTTTCCTTGACCGAGTTATAACGATGCAGCTTGATTCAAAATATAGAAGAAATTTGGATTTCTGATGGCCGGGAATTGCTCGTAAGTCGCCGTAAAGCTATCGTTCTGTCCTTTTCGCCATGATGAAAAATAAAAACCCCGATAATTTCTTCACAAATAAAAGACAATAATTTCGTTAGAAAATTATTTTTTGCAGGTACGTTTTAGGGGCCGATTACATGGAGCATTTTCAACCCCGGGGTTGAACTCAGCCCTGTTTACCGGGTTGAAATTTCAGCCCTGCCTGTAATACAAAACTCTATCAAAATCAACCGCGCGATTACATGACAAAATTTTCAACCCAGGGCTGAGTTCAACCCCGGGGTTGAACTCAGCCCTGGGTTCAAAATTTTGTCATGTAATCGTTTCAACCCAAGGCTGAAATTATCATGAGTTATTCGAGCATACGTGGTAGTGATTATTTATTACAAGAAAACAAAATAAAGGCTTTTTTACTTCCGGGAATCGATGCCGAGAACGTATAGTATTGCGTTTCAACCCCGGGGTTGAAATCGTCCATGTAATCGCAAAAGATTTCAACCCGGTTAACAGGGCTGAGTTCAACCCCGGGGTTGAAAGTTCTCCATGTAATCGGCCCCTTAGCCAATTATTATTATACGGTGTTGACAATGTTTACTTATTAGTAATAAGTTTATATTGACTGTTTAAATATCATGACAGAATGATGCAGGCATGTTCAATGTTGGCAAATGTTGTTATGATTTACGAAGAAAAACGTGAAAATGATTGAAGACTTGATATTAAGGCTCGGCTCACACGCACAGGGTATACAGTATAACTATTAACCCTTATCACGAACGAAAACATCGAAATGACATATAGTGTTGTATAGTGTCGTATAGTCTTGCATAACGTTGTTTAGTTTTGTATAATAGTCGTCTGACTAGTGTGTAGTATAGTGTAGTATAGTGTCGTATAGTCTTGGATAGTGTCATATAATCTTGTATAACGTTGTATAGTGTCGTATAGCCTTATATATTGTTGTATAGTCTTGTATAACGTTGTATAGTGTCGTATGGTGCCGTATAGCCTTATATGGTGTTGTATCCTCTTGTATACTGTTGTATAATGTTGCATAGTGTCGCTTAGTATCACATAGCCTTATACAGTATAGTGTTGTATAGTTTTGTATAACGTTGTATAGTGTTGTATAGTGTCGTATAGCCTTATATATTATTGTATAGTGTAGTATAGTGTTGTATAGTCTTATATAATGTCGTATAGTCTTGTATAATTAACATTGTATCGTATCGTATAGCCTTATATAGTGTCGTATAGTGTTGCATACATAGATATCTTATATACACTAGATAGCGCATCTATTTTAGTAAAATTGAAGCCAAGAATATTCCAGCGGTTACCCCCATTTGAATAGATGGCGGCCATGTTGGTCGTTCCCACTTCCTAATAAACACTTAAAAACAACAATAACTTTCATCATTTGAATAGTTTAAAAACGTATTTGGAATAGGGTTAACTTCATGTTTAAGTTCCGTGTTTAAGAAATAGAAAATATACGAATCTTCTCATTTCATGGGAACGACCTGAGACTGCAATCACGGCTTCAATTTTTGAATTGCAGAATAATTAGATGCACTATCTAGTGTATTATAAGATATCTATGGTTGCATAACGTTGTGTAGTGTTGTATAGTCTTCTTTAGTGTAGTATAGTGTCGTGTATAATCTTGTATAGTGTCATGATTTTTATGTAATATGTGAACAACGAGAGCGAGTGTTTCACCGGGATATCCAAACACGAGAAAACAATGTATGAAAACACGAGCGCGAAGCGCGAGTGTTTTCATACATTGTTTTCGACTTTTTCGAGTGTTTGGATATCCCGGTGAGACACGAGCTCGAGTTGTTTATATGGCTTCTCAAATGAATCGAGACGTAACAGAATGTTTTCGTTTGCTGATTTGAATAGAATTCTTAACCGAGCATAACGTAATTAGGAATTCTATTCAAGTAATTTTGCATGCGTAATTAAGATATTTGATGAAACACTAGTGACTTTCATCAAGTATCCAAATGGCATCTTGTGATCAAATAGGTGATTATCATTGGCTGAATTACTCATGAATTATTAATGAATTTGAGAAAGTCTTGTATGTAATGTTTACAACATGAGTGGCCGTGTTGTATCGGATATACAAACTCGAGCCGAAGGCGAGAGTTTGTATATCCGATACAACACGGACGCGAATGTTGTAAACAACTTAAAAAACGACTCATCTTATGAGTTTATTGGCGAAGGCATTTTAAAAATAAATTTTGTCTAAGCCGAGAAAATCAATGATAAAATTTATGCTAGGCAGCCTTTAAGGCCCTGTTACACGGTGCAATTTTTCATGCAACTTGTCTCGCAATGTTTAAAAAAAGATTTTGATAATGCATTGCAAGAGGTGTTACACGTTGCAATGATTTTCATGGAACTCGCAACGATAGGGGACAGAGGCATGCGAAGAGACTAGGGAGAGGCGCTATTTGGCGCCAAATTTTAATTAAAGTAAAGCGTGCACTGGGTAGACCCAATACGAACTCTCTACGCCGTAAACATTGCGAGACAAGTTGCACGAAGCCATGTTACACGCTGCAATGCTAAAAATAATTAGTGCAATCGTTGCCAAAAGTAGAACCGGCTTCTACTCCGTGCAATGCTTCATGCAACTTGTCTGGCAAAGATTTTGATTTTTCTCGCAACGCCATTGCGAGACAAGTTGCATGAAAAATTGCACCGTGTAACAGGGCCTTTACACTGTACCGTTTTCGTAGCGTTCTCATATTGTTCGAGAGAACTAGACTATTGTCTTGCGTTCCCTTGAGGATTAAGAACAATACGAGAACGCTACGAAAACGGTACAGTGTAAACGCTGCCTAAATCAACATGAATCTGTATGTAGTGCTGTATTGTGTTGTATGGTGTGGCATGCATAGCCTTTATATATTGTTATATAGTCTTGTATAACGTTATATAGTGTTGTATAGTGTCTTATAGCCTTGTATATTATTGTGTATTGTCGTAAGTGTTGTACTCTTGTATAGTGTCGTATGTAGCCTAATGTTTACAACATGCATGAGCAGCCGTGTTGTATCAGATATACAAACTCGAGCCGAAGGCGAGAGTTTGTATATCTGATACGACACGGACGCGAATGTTGTAAACAACTTAAAAAATAGGTACGCAATGCGTACATGTAGCTAGCTTGGTAAACTTTAACTCCCCAAACCTTCCTCCAAACCCAGAGAGCCTGCCATGCTGGTTAACTTTAATAGTAATAAGAAGATACGCAGGCTAA